TAGAATAAAGACTGCATTTGATGTAACAATATTTTTTCAAATATCTAAAACTACTACTAAAAGTCGGTAACACAGATATAGGTCTAAAGTTTGTGGGGTCAGATGTGCTACCGGATTTAAATAATGGAGTTATTGTGCTGTGTTTCATGAGATCAGGAAAAACACCACAGTCAATACACTGGTTTAATATGTCAGCTAAAATTGGAGTTATTGTTTTAATTACTGATTTAGAGACATCAACGTAATTTCCCCACAGATCAGAAGTTTTCTTTTTATTTAATTGGTCAAAAGACTTTATTATATCATAAGAATTAATATGTTGAAATTCAAACTGAGTATTACAATTATTCATGCTTTCTTTTAAAATAGACTCAGCTTCAATGGGGGAGGAGTTCAAAGGTTTGGTAGTTGAAATGAAACTGGAATGTCAGTAAAAAAAACCAAATTCAGTGGCAACCAAAACAACCTGCAACAATCAATAATCTCTGTAATCTGTGAAACAGACTAAGCCGGGTTTATATTTGTCTAACGTGTTGTGTCGTGACGGGCTCTGATGATGGGTAGCGTTCACATCCTTTACCCTTAGTACGAGTTTTACAATTACGAAAACTATGATAGTTTTCGTGAGCTCGCACTCGTAGATTTTATTGTTATCGTTTCAATACAAATAAACAGTGTTTAAATTCTATCATTAATCATATGCGTCTTCTTAAATTTCAAGGACATTTGGTTACTTATCAATAAAATGGACATATAAACATAATTTACAATTACGAAAACTATGATAGTTTTCGTGAGCTCAAACTCGTACTAAGGGTACTTATGTCGCCTTGGTAAATAGTACTTTTATAGCTCACGGAGTTTACACATTAGCATTATTTTTCGATGAATCCTCAGTCTGAATCGGAATTTGAAGAAGATATTATTTTTGCGGCTGGTAAATCTTTTAAAAAAGAAATGACGATATTGTGTTTTTCTTTTCTTAATCACTTCCCAAAAAGCTGATCTAATGGCCTGATCTTCGTATATTTTATATTTTAACGACAATAGAGTACGGTAAATTAAATCACTTTATATTGTCGTACTATTTCGATCTTCCATACTTTCATATTTCATGTTAATAAATATTTATTAACATGAAATATGAAATTCTTTTATTATTTGATAAAAACTAGAATTAATTTTATTCCCGTATAAAAAAAATACATATAGTATATAATTATAAATTTATTGATTGGCAAATGGCAAATCAATTTATCTATTTTTTGTTGCCAAAGCATCAGATATAGGTATTCTATTCAATAGGTAACTAAAGCAGGAATAATTATTCTGTTCAGCTTTCATTACATTATTAGATATTTTATGGGTATTTTATTTCAAGAAGAATCAATCATAAGTTGGTATAAGTTCACCACCATTTCACGAACATCATACATGAGTGGGCTGATTGACATTTGCCATAGTGATTAAGTTGACGCTGCTATGCGATAAGCTGCAACATACTAAAAATAAGAGTACCTTAAGAAAGAGTGGCCAGCACTCTTACAATATTTTGTCAATTTTTTAAATGGTTTAAAATTTCCGGTAAAATTCACGGTTTAAAAGTTCCGTAGTTGCCTGTAGTTACCACAATATATTTGAGCAGGAGTTTTAATTTTCTATAGACGAAATTAGAAAAACCAATTTATATCAATGTATGTATCTCAACTAAAATACCTAAGTCAAAGTCAAACTGCGTCTCGAACTCAAAATCAATTCGATATTATCGAAATGATATTCGAGGGGGACGCCCTTCTTGAAGAAAAAGTAGCACTTTAAGTTCAATATTTCGCAAACGGATCCCTAAGTCGAAAAATAGTTAGGGAAACCCCTAAGTAATTTTAAAGGACCTATTCAACGATATCCCACACGTTGGGGTAAATGATGAAAAAAATTCATCCCTAGATTACATGTAGGGGAGCTACCCTAAAAAAATATTTTCAGAATTTTATTCTACCATTTTGTCGGCGTAATCGATATACATATCTCCACAAAATAAGAGGTCTCTAGTGTTAATAGTCTCCAAGCAAAACCGGAGATGGACAGACAAACATGCCTAAACTATAAGGGTTCCTTGTCAGGACTACGGAACCCTAACAAGCTTTTTTTAAATAAATATGTTTCATCGCTGCCGGAAACTAACTACCTTCTTTTAAACTGTCTCCTTTATGAAAATTGTTTTAAGGCTAGCAATATGTTCAAAGGTCGGTACAAAGGGCCTCCGTCATGACTATGTAGCTGTGCCCGAGTTGCTCTTTGAATCTGGCAACATATTATAAACTTTTGTAAATGTGTAAGTGTAATTTGACTTAAAGATAATTCGATCTTCGATAATTTTATTTTCAAATGTTTTATTTAGTTGTAGCGGCACGCTATGATGGCCTTTTTGACGTTTGTGCCGGTCATGAAGTTTCATATTCTAAATTAGTTCTGCTTTTGGGACTTCTTCATTGATCTTCATTGTCATTAGAGACGCGCATTAAGTAATATTTATCGAATAGGTAATTTTAGGGTGTAGAATTTAAATACAAATCTATTTAAAATCATGGTCTAACTTATATTATTAAGGTTACGAAAACCATTTCAAGTTAAAAACAATTAAATATTATATCATTTTTAACTCAAAAACACCGACCCTTTGACAGAATCTTTAAGGATTAGGTAAGTTAATTTAAATAATTGTTTTGTTGTTATTATCATTAGGAAATGTTATATCATACAATTAATAATATAATTATAGAGTAATTATTCGCCACATAATTCGGCATTTCTGTTGTTCGAAATTCAAAATGTTAAAACATGAAATTAATAAGATCGTTCCATATGGGATCGCTGGGCGTGAGTAAAAATGTATGATTTCGTTTTATTCAATCTTTATAATCAGCAACTTTTGGCTAAATTGGTGAACAATTTCAAAATTTTTAATACCCAGGTGTAAAAATCCAAAATCTTATAGGATTTTTACGATTTTTCGATTTCAAACAGGTTGAAGTTTCGCGTCACTATTGCAATGTGTCAAAACGGCCATCATATCGTGCCGCGACTATAGTACGTTCATGAGGAGAATGTTACCAAAACAGTTATTAAACGACGGAGCTGACAAATAAATTACCTACAATTTTAGTGTCCTCTCATTTCTCTTCTCTCTGCTTGACTGTTAACTACAAAATGGAAAGTGGAATGGAACTTCTCTGTTTGATAAAAACTAGAGTTGGCCTTCGGTTTTACCCATATTTTGAGGAAAAATGTTATAGTGGGTCAACCTTAAAAGATAGTCGCGGACTATTTTAGCGAACTTTTCAAAAGTCAATTAAAATAAAAGATGATTATTACAGAGGGAACAATTCCGCCATACACGATATTTGTGTAACTTTTACCGTTTACGCAGCACACGCAATGGAAGCTCAAAAAAATATTTTTCCCCCGTATTTCAACATATGAATAGTATACCTATGTATAGCCTTTCTCGATACAAAAAGCACAAAATGTTTTTCAAATCGGACCAGTTCCTATGTTCCTGAGATTAGCGCGCTCAAACAAACACAAGGCTATTCGGATTTGCTGTTTGTAAAATAGACAAGAATGGTGTCGATTCTGACTTGATTCTTTAAACTTGAAACTAAATCAGTCTCTCCTTTACAATCTGTATAGAGAATGACAAGGATACACTGGTGTCAATTCTGACACGATTCTCTAAACCTAAACTTAAATTTGACAACAGTGTATCCTTGTCATTCTCATTAAGGAATGAAAAGGAGAGATTGATGTTAAATTTAGTTTTAAGTTTAGAGAATCACGCCAGAATTGGCACCACTGTTGTCAAATTTAAGTTTAGATTTACAGAATCGTGCCAGAATCGACACCAATGTCTCCTTTTCACTCCCTACAGAGTATGACAAAAACAAACTGCTGCCCAAATGACAATAAATAAATACCAAGCCATAGTCATCTTATGTGCCGACTTAAGGGGGAAACAAAACACCATTATTTATAGGTGTAAAGAAAAATCTCGCGATTACGTAAATCTCATCTCAGAATTCTAATTAAAATTAGTCAAGACAAGAGTCAAATAACAAAAAGAACCAAATTAAATTTGTGTTTTTTTATGTAGCACACAAAACAATGGGAAACTCTAGGTCCTTGACGTAGACACCTATTATTGATAATGTAATAATTTCTCATATCAGTATTTTCCATTGTATAAATCTTTATTATTTAATTTATATTAATGTAAAATTGTAGTAATATTTGGGTATCTGAGTAGCTATTTCAAGGTCACTTCAGTTCATAATCACTCCTTGTTTATTGTACCACAAACAGAAGCTAGGACGATGAATCTCTGTCTATGGATAGAAATGGTAGCCACAAGATTTTCAAAATCGTATGATTTTGGTGTATACCAACCATAACACCGGAAGTACCGAAGAATGAACGTCAATAGTAATAGAGAAAAAAATGACATTGGTCATTGACTCCAATTGATTAACTCGTTCTTTGTCTTTGTTTTTATTAATTATATAAACAAGAAATAGCAAAAAACACAACTAAAAACAATTTATTTCTCTTTTGTCTAAATATTATTCGACGGAAAATATAGCTGGGGTATGTAAGTACCAAACATTTAAAATATCACTAATATTTATTATTGTCTTAGTTAATCACATAAAACGGTTGACTTTTAGGGATGCTTATTTCATGTACTTAAGTATATGATTTAACATATGTAACTTATTTAAATGAATAAATTTTAATTGGTCCTCATATGAAACCTCATCACTCGTGATTAGATTGACGGATTTAAATACTAAGTTGTATTTGCAATATCGACAGTTGTTTATTAATCCTCTAAATACTTGTACAAAGCCGAGGCAGGTCACTAATTGATAATATTTGATAGAAAATGTCAATTTTATAATTTTTATTTTGTTGATACTTAAAAAACTAGTTTATCATTCACCTACCGTTGCCTGTGATGTATGTTGTCCTTCAACTGCTCCCGAAGCATACCACCATTGTTGCTGTGGAGATTGTTCTCTGGTATTTGAATTCGATACTAATCGGTAGTCATAATTTGTTGTGGAATTGTCTCCACCATTATTGGAAAAGCCACTAGTCATCTTATAAGTATAAAGTTGATGAGTAGCAGAGGCAGTGCTTCGAGCAATTTCTTCATTAATTTGTTGTTGGTGCTGGAGTTCACCTGCGCCACCCGGCCACCACGAGGCTTCGTCGCGCGCACCCCAAGCGCCTCCCGTCGCGCCTCTGTCCCCCATGTTACGATTGCCGCTTTAGGCCAACCTGTTTCTTTATGTCCTTTCGGCTAGAATTTTAAGACTTTCTTTGTGTGTTTTTTATGAGAATCATGTCATATATCCAGTTTATTTCACAATAACTGCTCATATAGGTTTTTATTTTCATTTATGTACACTGACACTACATACAGATATATTTTTTATCACAAAAAGTTCTTGTATTCAATCCTGACACTTCATTTTCTACAATGTTTGAACTAAAATAAAACGAATATTCACAGAGTCTTTCTTGTTGTTAAATGAAAAAGCTACCGGCTGCAAGTCCCACTCCACGCGCGTACGTTTTGTCTTCGTTTGTACTTAAGTCAATAAAACTGGCAACGTCGCATAGCGAGACGCTATACAAGTGCACACAGGCGCCCTCAACGCGCAGCGGCCATTACGGAAACGATCGAATATACACGAAGAGACACCGAACATGCACGAAACGGCAACAAGTTCGTCCAGCAACCGGTCAATAAGACGATTAGCGCAGCTCATACGATCCACGTTCATGGATTTTTTTTAATAAATATTGAAACGAACCTTTCTTATATTTTTCTAAGTTTTAAGAATAATCTTTTGTAGAGATATTTTTAAAAACCTATCATTCGGAATAAGCATTAAGTAATGAGAAATATTGTTCTACTCTTTGTTCTGTTAAAACGCCAATAGTCTAATTATATGAATCAAAGCTTTGTGTTCTTTTAAGTAGATAGCGAATTAAGTTTAATTAGGTCTGGTTATGATTAATAAACCAAAAAATCCAAACAATATGAATCAAAATATTTATTATAGTATTGCATAAATCGAATTGAATAAAATAGGCCATGTAGGTATGATGATATTTTCCCATATGAAGCAAATATAAACCCATTACGATTTTAACTGCGAATAAAATGAAATTATGCACTTACGAAGTAAAGTAATTTTTGTTAACTCATGCAGGACGAACAAGAAACTGGTATGGATGTATTTATAAAGGTGCATTACTAATATTGAAAGGTTTGATTTGATTAGAAAATATTATGCACCATCTCCGAACCCATGATAATAACAGTAATGGATATGTTACTGCCTAGAAATGTGCTTGAGCACTTTGATATAAGCATGAATGAAAAGAAACGGTAGCCGTTAAATAACTCACCGTAGCAGACATAATCAACGGTGCTGATATATACTTATTTGCTCACCACGTGTAAAAGGAATCACTTAAACCCCTATAACAAAGGAATATATGGTTGAGAAATAAAAGTACATGCATACATACTGAATACTTACTTACTCTGTCAAAAAAAACTAGATAGGTATTTTTAACGATCAGGAGATATTACCGTGATCTGATCTGATTTAAAAAAATATACATAATAAGGATATGCTATTCTCACGAACTATCATTTGAGGAACTTTAATGTTATAACAGATCATCAAATACAAATTAAATGTCATATAACAAAGAATAATAAACAGCCGTCATACTTTCTTCAGCAACGGTTCAGTCAGTTTTAATCCCATCCAAGTTTCAATTCAAAATCTAGTTATTGTCCTATGTTGAAAGAAAAATGTCAATGTGACTTAAATATTCCCTAACCCAACTATGAGAAAGAGATCGCTTAAGGAAATTATGATAATACATATTAAGAAAGTTACACAATTAGGCCCCAGGATCTACAACTAACAATTTCGGCATATAAAAGTTAACCTAGAAATTGATAATGGGTCAATAACTTGTGTGATTGGAAGCCTTATAAGGTTTTTATAATTGTGCTCTTGATTACAAGTTATTTAATTATCTCTATTTTATATAGAACTAAAGTCTTATATAACTAATGAGTCAATCAGCAACAAAATATAGAATTTGAAAGTCGCATAGATTGTTTAAATGCCTTAATTTTGAAAATTTACTGGTTTAATGGTTTCTTCTGAACATAGGTATTCCTTAACAAATGACAAAGCAGGTCCTCGCTTAATAGAGATCAACATAAACATGTATTGTGCTGAAAGTTAATTAATTAAAGAGTCCAGCCTGCAACCACATATAGTTATTTTTGTCATATGTTCTTAACAGATTATTGATTCTCACTAACCCCTTCATTAAGATTATATATTTAGTGTGTTTTAGCTTAAAATAGTACGAGAGTTTAATAAAAATTTGGTCCACATCCTATAAATTTGTTGAAATTCTAAATAGTTATCTACCTACATTCGATCGATACGATCGTAAAACTTCTTCAATTCCATAATTTTATTAGGTACTACTTGATTAAATCTAAGACGTAGATAATGTGTGATTTATTCTGCTGGTCTCTTTTTTTGCTGCTATCCGTATGTGATCTTAGATTAAAGCAACAAACCCTTTTTGCTTTAATATAAGCATGTGATAGATATTGTTGCCTTTAAAAATATGATAATAATTTAGATTAACATGCGCAAACAATAACAAGAAATGTTCTCTACTAATAAAATATATCTCATAAAGGAAATAGATAGACCAATTTTATGAATTGAATAGGTTTGGTTTGAAGATAATTTAATAACTATCACTATACATTTTATTAAAATTGACATATTAATACAGAAAATAATGTACATATTTTACAACTGCTTGCCCTCACCCTTTAGAATACTTATTTTTTCTCACCGGAATACTCCCTCGGTTCTTTTACAAATTATGTAAAGCTGTTAAATCAAAAAATCTATTCCTGAAAAATCCCTAATTATCGATCATAACAGTAACTTTTAGACTGGCCTTACAGTCTGAATCAGAATCCGAATCCACAATAAGAATTCTTGTCTGAATTCCAGTGCTTTGACTCACACAAATCTTTGATGTAGTAGTCTCGCGAACGTTTTTAATATGGTATTGACAAGTTTTAGAAAATTATCTCACTTTATTCACTAATGTTTACGGAGTAATAAATATTGGATATTTTTAATTCTGTTCTGTGATTCAGTAAAAAAAAACTAAATTTAAAATTCAGATTTAAAGTTGCCGCGAAAAATTTTCTCTGGATATTATGGCGTCTCTCTAGTATGTGCCGTCACGCGACTGTCATTAAAACGTCAAACGATACAATGTAATGTCACTCTGGCTGACAGTTTACTAGCGTGTTACGTCATTTTAGTCTTGGCCAATCCCAGGTGTTTTCGGTCACGTGACCATGGAGCAAAAAAATAGAATGTGTGTGGATAGTTGTTACATTGTATGCAATTCTGTGCGCTCTGAATTTAAAATATGTAAGTATTCATATAATGAATCCAATCTGATTCAGACTGTGTACGGCCAGCCTGGTGCAGTAGCATCCGCACTCCAAGACGTCAAATTTTGATGCTTCTCTGACAATAACGTGTTGTCTTTTATTAAAACAATGGAATTAAAAATATTAAGTAACATAAGAGACATTGCGTCGGGAGACGGAGAAAAGAACCACCAAGGTATACATTTGCAATCAGATAAGCAGTTTTGCGTTGTAGGATCAAAATTATAATAAATCGATTTTTACGAAAATCCTAGAAATTTTGCGATAACTCGGATACATAATTAGACAATGGCGATGAAATTGCTCAATCTGTTATCGTTTTTTTTCTGGCACTTCACAGGCCTCTCTCGCAATACGCTTGCTATGCTCGCGCTTATGGGCACATGACACTAGCCTAACCTATTCTAGTGTGAACCCAAAAACCCAAGAATATTTATAATACGCCAACGATTATTTTTGCAATCTTACTGAGGCGACTTGCGTTTTCACAATAATTCTATCTTTTTCAGTAAGATTGAGAAATTTCATCGCCTCCTCCTTGTGACATGCTCCTCATTGCTGAGGGTCGTGACCTCCACGAATTTTTTAGGGGACGATCGCTTTCCACTTGTTGAAGTCTTCGGCAGTGTGTAATGTAAATGTCTTATTATTCTAATTCGATTTATCAAAACATTCTACGACACATACACAAGTATAAGCATGGTTTATTAATACATATTTATTTCATATATTTTTTTCAAATATTAATATCCACTTTAACCAAAGTTCTTAATTCAAATTTCAAGTATAATCAAGTTTAAGTCTCATTCTAGCTCTATTTGACAAAGATGCAAACGCGATTAAGCCTTCATTTCAATAAAGATCTTTGGTGCAAGTGGTATCTATTACTATAAGTTAATTATAATATTAGGTATCATATTTTTTTTTTGTTTTTGATAAAATCAATTATTTATAACATAATATAATATAACTTTGTTTTTATGTAATCCAATACAAATGTTCCAAACTAAATTGAATGATATTCGTTCGAAATCTAACTATTCATAATATTAACTTTGTTTATAAACCTTTAAAAATGCAAACAATCAAACATCTAGGTTATGTTAGAATGTATCATAAAATTTATCACTGCAGCCTGCAGGTCAGTGAGTTTCATTCAAAGAATTATTATAATTGTCAGGCAAATACTCACAATAAGTTCCGAACTATGGAGCTGTTGTCATAATATTATGTATATGTCACATTATTCCGCCCTCGGCAGCCATTTGCTTACAAAATTAGAATGTAAAACTATAAATAACACTTTTCATAAAAACACCATCCCTTTCCAGTTGCTTTACTATAAATCTTGTGTAACACTTCCTACGATAATCATTGGGAAAAATTGTAAATATAAAAATAATAAAACTCACCTACTCTGTTTATAACATCGGACACACGATTTCAGCGCTTATTACGTAGAGAACTTCGCGATTGTCTTAATGAATACCAAAGCAATGCAATGTCAAACACAAAAAAATTTCATTGGTTTAAATTGAATGCCGCGCCATAGTGTAGCCAATCCGATTTCAGGCGTCGGCTTTATTTTTTGTTTATAATACAACATCGCTACGTAGACATATTGTGACGACGACGATGCACACATTCACCCAACGTTCTATTATTTTTGTGTTCGTAGGGAAGGCTGGATGATTATTGCCGTACTAATATCGATCTTATGTCATAGTATTAAGTTGTCGGATGTAGGAATGAACGAGTAGTAATGATAGTTTGATTGAGAGATATTCAAGCTGACCGAAAATGCGACTTTCGTTTGCTCGTTCATTCGATCAATTCAAATGGCGATGGTTCGCAGCCAAGTCTGTACTGTTCATGTTTATTCGCGGTAGAAATTTTAACACTGAAGATTTTTTTATATAGACACTATAGACAGAGATATCAGTGAGCATTGAAATATATCGAGTTCAATCTTTTACTTGTGTTTATTTGACTAAATTAATGAAAAATACGAAAAAGTGATGAACATTTTGTGCACAAGTGCATTGGTTATACTTTATAGGTTTTTCCTTTTTTGCGGTAGTTGAGCTATACTAGATGTTCTGACTATCTGATTCCAATTTAGTGACAGAATAAACCCTTTGAAATGTTCGGTGTTAGTATAAATCTTAACCTCAACAGTGAGTCTTTGTGAATACGTCGAACTATTTTCTATCGCCTTGTGCGACTTCTACTGTCGAAGTTCAATATATTTGTTATATATGATTCAACGCGAGTATCAAATGAACAACGGGTTTAGTACAGGGGAAGAAGATTCAAGAGGTAATTCTGATCAAATATGTTGCCTTGTGGATGATGGCGATCGCTGCAGGCGACCAGCAAGTAATGCCGCGTATAGTAAACGTATACAGAAGACTGTGATGCAACGAAAACTTAAACTCAACATAGACCCTCAGGTACTGTGCATTAAAACAAATTCTATAATTTATTTTATGTTTACCCTTCTTAAGTCAAATCATATTTATTTCAACTGTCCTATTTTTCAGGCAAGGCATACTTATATTTGTGATTACCACAAAAATATGATTCAGTGCGCGAGAACAAAGCAGAGACGACCGAAGGATTCTGAAGATGATAGCAATGAGGCTGAAATGGATTCACCGGAAGTAGATTGGTTCCAATTGCAAGTCCCTACTCTAAGACGTTACAAGAGACATTATAAAGTTCCAACAAGGCATGGACTGAATAAAGCTCAACTAGCAGATGTAAGTACACATTTGCTTTTCCTTCTATTTTAATAATTATGTTAAAATTCCATTTTATGAGATATAAGCATGGACAGGCAGTATAAATATTATTTCTTATGATATGCATTACTATTTTTAATATACTATATTAATTATTATTTTATAAAGGATGATGGGCAAAAATGTATGGAACTTGGTATCCGTTCCAATAGAGATGTGTTACATATCATTCGAAAGGTCTACTTGAATACAATAATGTCTACAATGGCGCTTGCCCTGATACGTTGTCGAAACAGAGTTATATAATAAATAATAAAAAGAAGTTTTTTCTTTTTAAATTGTTATACATTTTAGTATTTACATTATTTTAGCAGTGTTGTAAGTATTAACAATAGGTATTAGGTTAGAGCGTTGAAATCTACAATAGTTTAAAAAAAACTGTATTGCAGATACCAGTGCCTTCCGACTTAGTAACAATACAACCTCGTGTGAACTATTTAATGTTTATCTTTAACGAGAACGTTAATAAAAGAAAATGGTAAAAAACATAATAAAAAAAAAACAATAAGTAGCTTGTTATCTTGAACGGTAACATAGGCGTATATAGAGGGGGGGCCGAGTGGGCCGTGCCCACCCCAGGACGGTCTTGTGCCCACCCCAGAATGTTGGACTACCAATTCGAAATTCTATAATACTAATCACTAACTTCAGATGACTCTTCAATGTCAGGTCCCAGCCCCCCCCCCCCTGAAAAATAACCCTAGATACGCCAATGACGGTAACACTTAATAAAAAACTTTTTAACAAAAATAGATAAAATTAGGTTCACAAGTCCATAAGAAAGCCGGAGTCAACGATAAAAACAGGTAAAAATAACGATGAAGGATAAAAGAAGGAATGAACGTAGTTCCACGAGCAGTACTAACGATCGCCTAGTAATAAGTAATACGCTCTCGCGCCCCCGCGCCCCAGCGCCCGCGCGCCCGCACCTTCTGTCTACCTGCCTAAATACGGGCGGGAGAGGGGATGGCATCCCGCATTGAACTCTGTACTTGACTCAGTGACTCGATTTCCCTTTTTGATTCTGTAATAATAAATAATGGTAATAACGGTTTCGGCAAAAATGGTTCTGGTATTTTTTGGAAAAAATAAAAACGGACAACAAATATCAGAATACCGCCATGGTAACTAATATTCTACATGAAAAGAGGTATTCAATGATGTATCACTCATCTCTATTGATACCAAACAACAATTGGATACCAAAATGCCCGTCCTCCTTTACTATTGAATGTTAAATATTTGTTTTTCAAATTATATTTCCATACTATGTTTTTTTTTTAAATCAATGGCACACATCTATTTGGGACAAAATATTTAAGGAAATAATTTCGATACATGTGAACATTAGTTTATACTAATTTAAAAGCATGAGTATTTATATAGGTCCCGGATATCACCATTTACCTGATAAATATTTACCTTGAATTTTATGTAAATTAGTATTTAAATTATATTATAAAGCATATCATGTAAACCAATATGCCTTGTCTATTGTGATGGCTTATTTCAGCCACTTCGCAGACAAACAAATAATCTCTTTTTTTTTGTTTCAGGCTATTCAAAAACACTTCAAAACTTTACCAGTAAATGAGAAGGAAATTATGACATATTTTATATATATGGTTAAAACTAATGGAAACAAGTTGGACCAGAAAAATGGAATGAACTCTGATTCAGTGTAAATTTTAAGAATTTGTATGTGACTGTTTATTTATAGAATTAGTTTTAATAATTAGGTTTAGCCACTCTACATTCTCATGTAGATATGAATTTATTAATACAATTAATTGAAGTATATTACTTCACTTTGCATTGCTATGTAACAGAATACAGATGAATTTTACATGTCACACCAAATTATTGATGTAGATTTGTTTAATTATATTATTGTGTTCTGTAATTTTTCCTCTATCATCATAACAATGGACTGTATTAAATGTTATTATTTATTATAATTTCAAGTTAGAAATTTCTGCTTTATAAAATACAATTATGTAGTTCACAATATTTTAGATTGTGAAAGCTCATTAATTATGAATATTGAGGGCAAATGCAATCAATACCTTTATTTAATATAAGAGAGATTATAATAAGAGAAAAATTATAGAATGTACTTTTTATTTGAATGCGTTTTATAAACCTCTATTTTATTGGTCTTCCTCAGAGTCTGATGAAATTTCAATCCATTGAGATCCCCCTTTCTTTGAAACAATCTCTGCAGTTTGTGGCAATGATGGCACAACTGAAATAGAATTTAATATTATTAGTTTTATTTATAATAATTTCTCAAGTCTAGCTTGGAACACATTACTTAGTTTCAAACTTACCATCATATTTACTTGGTTCTGATTTCACATCATCTTCAACTTGCATTCTTTCTGTCTTACTTGTCATGTCATCTACATTGTAATTTTTTAACTGTATGGTCAATTCTTTTTGAGTTAAAGATAACATATGTTCACTTGTAATGATATCAGCAAAATTAATTTTTGATCTTTTTTGTCTGTAAATAAATAATAATATATTCATAAACATTATTATTTGTTGCAACTATCACTTATGTTGCTTATCCATGAGCAATGGCTAATCTATTATTATGTCAGTTATCTTTTTAATACAATTTTGGTTGGTAACATATTTTCAAAAGCCAAAAAATACCAAATTTATTCTCACCTCATTGTATCATCACTGATTATTATCTTTTTTACCAAATCAACTATTTCTTTAGATCTATCAGCAGCACTGACAATAGCTTTATGTACAATATTGGAATCATAGAGAGCAGCACCATTTAGATCTAATAAACATAGTTCTTTATACTGATTCATACCAACAACTAGCAGACCACCGCCTGTGTTGATTCCTTCCTCTGTACTACTTGTACAAACTGACTCTTCTATAAAACTAGGATCTGATAGTAAGACACTGCAAATGATTAAAAGTTATTTCTGATGATTAATATTTAATGAATTGAAATTAAATGAATTTTTTCATAATATGTTGACAAATTAAAAAATATTACTGAAATTGCTAATTATGCTTATTATCAATGCTCCCAACAGCAGGGACTTCTATTTATACTATTTAATGATACTTACTCATTATTGAAAATAGCAAATGTCATACACACGGGATAGTGATATAAAACAGTGGGTATAGGATCTTTTTCAGCAATTGTGTGTATGATCACAGAATCACCACTGCGTGTCACATCTGGCCTCTTAAAATGGGCAAGGGAAGTCAGTGTTGCTATGCTTGAACACTCTATAAGATTGCCACCATGATTTAATATTTTGACATCAACTCTCAGTGACCAAACCTAAAATAGATTTTATACATTAAGAGATTAATTATAACACAAAAAGAAATACAGATTATTTATAAATTGTACATTACAAGTGAAACTTTGTACACTTAAGCTATTTTGCTATAAGTACAAGGACTTCTTAAACAAACCTTTTCTTCTACCACAATACAAAGTGATTCAAGATCAATGCATTTAGAGTCTTTGTAACATTTCTCAAGTAACCGATTTAGATACACAGTAAGATCAGTTTGTCTGTTGGCTTCAAATTGAGGTGCAGCCATTGGACTTATTTCAACGTTGATATACAGTATTCCTTCATTAGGTCGGATTTGTTTGGGTTGTGTAACTTCACAAGATACTTGAGCAAGAACTCTGAAATATAAAAATGATTTGACAAAACACTTTTGTGTTTCCAAAAATACTTTAAATTATTTTGGAAGGTTTATTCTTTTATTATTATAAGTTTTATAAATGCTAGAAGCATAATATGTACTTTATAGATCTGCAATCAGGCTTGATAGATAATTAAATATACTACATGAACTTTTAATATTGTGATGGCCTAATTCAACAAAAAATAATGTTAAGTATATATGGAAAATACAATATCTACTTTGTTTCTCCTAAAGACACTATGCAGCTTCCATATTCTGATCCAAATGAAATATTCAATCTCCGACTTTCATTATAGTTTCTACCATCAAGGCGCTAAAATAAAAAGAGAAAAATACATTTTAAGGTTACTAGTGTCTATCGGTTTTGTTATTCACTCTCGGAGAAAAATAATCAAAACTGTAAATCATTCAAAATATAAGCTTACATGACCCTCTGAAACTATTCTTTGTAGAAAACTTTTCTCGCAATTCGACAAAAATACATCTTTCATCTTGAGTTCAATTTATTGTTAGAGTGTTCCTATAAAATATGTTTTGATAAAGTATGGTTAGCAGCTTATTTATATATTCTTGAAAGTTATAAATGAACGTCGCTGTAAACAAACAATATGAGTTAATTTCAATGTTATACTTTTAGGTTAATTTGACATTGGCAGATGACAGTTGAGAGCATGATAATTGGCTGTCACCTATGACAGCGAGCAGGTCAGTGTTCATAGAACTGATTTCCAAAATCGGACGATTTTATAAAATGGGCCGATTTGGGATAATGGTGTTCATGTTTGTAAATATCCTCTGAGGGTTCATAACTGCCATTTTATCATGCCAGATGGCGTCCCAATGGAAGCTGTCAGTTTCATACATTTTATAACCTAGCGTTCTGTTAACTTCCATTTTCTAATAATATAACTTAATGTACTATGAAGTCCGCGAGACTTACGCTGAGCTACATTTGTGTGACTGATCACGAAAAGCAGAGCCAGACAAAAACACAAAAATGGAATTATGTTTAGGTAGGTAGATAACATACGTAGGAAAATAAATCTACATAAGTAAGCAATACATAATTTATTTAAGCGAAGGCCAGCTGTATGTATGTAAGTCTGACTGAGAAATTGAATTTTGACTGAAATTGAAAACAATAAATAAATGTCGCTACCAATTGGGCTGATGAATTGACACGACATGTCTTCGTCGTATACAACAATTCCAATTCCATTCAACAGTTTTGGCGTGATTGAGTTACAAACATACGAACCTTCACATTTACAATATTAGTAGGAAGTAGGATGGTCTTATACTTTACAACATGGATTAATCAATCTTATCAAGAAAACATCCCAGACATAAAAGAGACTGCCGATAAAGAATCAGGTCCAATATTCAGGTTTTTTTAGCAAAATAAGCTCACATAACTCCATTAATTCTATCCGCAATTATTGGTAAAATTAGTTTTAGTTGCAGATGACCTCCGTAATACTAACAAGCTTGGAAGGCGATCCTCGAAGGTTTTCTATACTGGTGTTTGATTAAACATTTCCATAACTCTTCATTTGCCTGATCTTATCTAATAAATAAAATGGGGAACGGAAAAAAAGTAGCTAGTAGATAATTTTATTTAAAAAATAATACAAATATAACTTACATAAGCCCACAATATTAGTACAGTAACAGTGATGAAATGAGCAATAGAACTGACAGAATTTTTCAACTTTATAATATACTGTCACTTTCTGTGCCGGAGTAAGGTCGCCAAGCTGATGGGTGTGGCTCCCCATACTATCGTACATACATATCGAATTGAAAGGACAAACTGTCGATCGCCTTGAATCACCTTTTGTGAATTGACTCTATAACAACAGTCACAGCAATAATCATTATATGTTAAATCAAATTTAGCACTAAACTAGACCCATTTCTTACATAAATTACATTACTTAGTTATACATCTATATTTTGTAAAAATAATTTCCTTCCATCTTCCTTTGCATCTGTTGTTATTTGAACCATTGTTGGTCCGTTCATGCGATAATTAGGCAGAATAAGTTCTAAAATAAGGTCTTTGTTGAATATGGTCACATTAAAATGCTTTTAAAATTCTCCAAATGCAGGCAAAGGATTTTAAGTTTATACCTACCATAGTACTACATTTCCAAAAAAAATCTTGTGTGATCTGTATAATACCATAATGAGTAGATGCTCTAAGTACGCTGCAGCGCTAAATTGCTTGATGAGGGCAATTTATTTAGAAGTCGTGGTAATAACTAACAAAGCAAGCCATTATAAAAAAAGAACTAGCAACAGAATAAAACCTTTCACAATCAATAGTAATAACTCTTATTTTTTACTAACAGATAGTGTTTTTAAAACAATTTAACTGTTAAACTTTTCATTGCAATTATTGGTCAATAGCGTTTGTATAATAAAAAATTAATATAGGTACACTCGGTGCCAAAAAATCGCACCTCCACGAAAATAACTTTCAAGCGTTATTGGTGTCGATTCTGCCATGATTCTCTAAAGCTAAACTTAAATTTGACAACAATGGTGTCAATTCTGGCATGATTATCTAAATCTTAACTTAAATTTGACAACAGTGTATCCATGTCATTCTCTATACAGAATGAAAAGGAGAGACTGATGTTAAATTTAGTTTTAAGTTTAGAGAATCACGCCAGTATCGACACCAGTGTAACTCTGTCATTCTCTATACAGTCTGAAAAGGACAGACTGATGTCAAATTTAGTTTTAAGTTTAGAGAATTCTGACAGAATCGACGCCATTATAACCCTTATCACACGCATTTACTCCCACCAAAATTGGTGTTGATTTGAAAGCCCATTGAATGAACTTAAAAAAAAACAATTCAATTAATTTTTATTTTTATTGGAACAGTGGCCCATTCCTTAAATAAAGGACTCTTCGAGCTCCTGAAGAGTCGTGGGAGCGGGATCACGAGACCTAACTTTGCGTTTCAAATGGTCCTGGAGGTGCTCTCTGGTTCAGGTCTGGACTTCTCGCTGGCCACAGGATGACAGACATCCAAATCTCTTGAAGGTAGTTGCGCACAATTTATGCAGTGTGAGCGCGAGCGGGACCGTGCATTAATGTAAACCCCTCGCCAGCAAAACCGTCCTAGGGGACCACATGCTCTTCCAGGACCCCTGAGGTACGTCACGGTGAGCAGTCAGCGACCCTTGCCCGCGAGCACCTCCAGTCTGGGAGACGCTTACAAGGCCGCTTTTGCCGTCGGCCGACATGCCGCCCCAAAACATACAGGAACCGCCTCCGTATTCTACCGTCTCCTGGATGCAGGCTTGGGCGAAACGTTCCCCCTTTCTTCTGATCACTCTTCTGCGTCTATCGTTGCAAAAAAAACACACTCTCGTCTCGGCTGAGAAGAGAACAGCTTTCCATTGGTCAAGGGTCCCATTGACATGGACGCGAGCCAACAGCAAGCGGGCTGGCCTTTGGACCCGTAGCAGCTCTACGAGCCGCTTCTTCTCCCTCAATCTTCGTCTAACCGTAGAAACGCTCACGGTTGTTCTGCCTGGAGCTGTTGTTGCAACTCAACAGCATTAGAGAACCGATTTCTTAGAGAAGTCGATACGATGAATCGGTCGTCTCTCTCCGAGGTGCAGCGAGGTATACCAGACCCATGTCTATGTATGGCCACTGGTCTTCAGGAATCGCCGGTATACTCCTTGAACCGAAAAACGGCTCAAGTTCAGTTGCCGAGCGACATCACACTGCCGCATCCCTGGTTGCAGTTTTGCAAACACTTGAGCGGCTTCATCAGCAGTGGTATCCATCTTCACGGCGTTTTTTACCCGACTGCGCAATGCAAGAGCGCGAAGCGCGACGCTCAGACAGGGTATAGTTTTGTAAAAGATCTTCTCGTGTGTTCTCTTCAACGGTTGGATAGCGAATAACCCCCATTGCCACTGCACTTCTTCTTCTCGCGCCCCGTTAGGTTTTTTTAAGTTTATCTAATGGGCTTTCAAATGACACCAATATTGGTTAGGGGTACATACGCGTGTTAAGGGTTAATAACGCTTGAAAGTTATTTTCGCGCAGGTGCGATTTTTTTGACGCCGAGTGTATATAAAAAAATATATTGTGATAATAGATAATCATCATCATCTTGATATGAATTAAACTTACGATGCTGAAATAAAAAGTCTTGTAGTTTTAAAAAAAAGAACCTACCTACATATTTGTACATTTTTATGAAAATATTTTCTAAGTATAGGTACATGTATATTTTTTAAAGCATTTAATTACTAGATGTTTAAATGTAAGCAGCAAATTTTTTCCAGTAAAATTTTTAGATTTAGATTTAAACATTTCTAAGTATTATTTCATAAATGGTGTAAGACCGACAAAACAATCCTAGTTAAAAAACTGGCTAAGTGCGAGTTGGACTCACGCACGTACAACCGTACAACTTATGACATTATATTATTACTAGCAAACCAGTGAGCCAAATTTTCACCAAAACCTGATTTAAAAAAAAAAAAAATTGAGAACTTCGGAGATTTTGTGTGGTTTCGTTTGAAATTCGTGATTTCTCGAAAACCAGAAGTGCTACGTTACTCAAATCCGGTTTGTAGTCTTATCAGACGATTCTTAACTTATAACTTAAATATTCTCTTTATCTATCTCTTACGGTTTGGCTGCTGAAACAGCACCACAGACAGACGGACGGACGGACTTGTCTAATAGATAAGAGATACAACTTAAGACATTATATTTCTGCTCATTACACATGAAATGAGACATTTCATTAATTTATTTTGCATTTACCGGAATTCGATCCCAATCCCAATTCATTTAGAGCAGAATGAAGAGAGACTTCCTTTGCAGCAACCGGTCAACATAATATTATAAATTACTAAAACATTATTTGCTGTATTTACAATAACACCATTAATCGATTATGCATGCATTATAGTAGAAAGCTTAGTATGGATATCCCGGTTCAGAGCGATTTTTAAAAAGGAGTGGGTTTTTAATTACGTTTTTAACCTGACTTCGTCGTTATGAATGAATAATACATTGAATACAATTGAGATGATTTGTCGCCGTAAGCCGGGTACTCATTAGCGAGCTGTAACCGTAACTGTTGTATGTACTGTCACCTAAAAACATAGTGTGTACGCGGTTCGCTAACCTGCTACAAGCGTACATACTAGAACCTCGTACTGTATCACGCATGTTACAGTTACAGCTCGCTAATGAGTACCCGGCTTAATAAGCGGCGTGGACATCACAGACTATAGACGCTTTGCGATACCGTATCGTGTGGTAAAACAATAAGGTATCGCAAGCTCACCCGTGAGTTGACTACCTCGATCCTATCCCGAACCGTGTAGAACCCTGAAATCTTACTGACAGACTGGAACGCACCACCACCCAGAGCTTATATTATCTCTCTATAGCCTTTTACACAGAGACAGAGGAGGAGAATCGACTACGAATAACTATCTCAGTAAAATTGTTTGTTTCGGTTCGAATTTAGCATTTAAGTGCGTATGTATTAAGAATAAATATTATAATGTTTAGATTAGAAGTAAAGTAACCGTTATCGTGAATCCTACTAATATTATAAATGTGAAAGCAGTGGCGTAGCGTGCCTTGGCGGGGCCCCGTATAAAAATTTGCTTGGGGGCCCTTAGGAAGGGTAAAGATTTCTCACAAAAGAAAAAAAAATGCATAAAATAAAAAGAAATATTTATTCATCATAATTATCTATATGTCATTTTTTTTACAAACAATTCAAATTAAATATATGATGATGACTTTAGTTTTTCTAAAGTTTTTTCCTCTATGGACAATATGATTAGTCTGACGGGCGTTTATGTCCCATCGAAGTTCTTAGGTAATTTTTTATCTGTTTTAATTTGAAGAACTTCTTTCAGCAATTGCGGTTGTTACTAGAAATAAAAAGCATGCTGTTATTACCTCCGGAAAACTGGATGCAAAGCTATTGAATTTTATCAGCAATTATTCAATGAGTTCTTTATTGGAATGAATTTTCAGAAGTTCAGATTTTAAGCATGTTTTTAGAGCCTTTTTAACTGAGACTGAGTTTGCCGGGAGCGTTTCATATCTCTTCGCTTGAAGAAGGTAGGAGTTTCTATGGTTGTAATATTTCGAACATACTGCTCAGGTCGCTCTGAAATCTTTTTTTAGTTTTACATATTAATATATCAGGAGCTGCCGAACAAAACGGTATAATTACACATCTGGTCAAACTACTTTTTTATAGTCCAGAGGTCTCGGGCCCTTTAAATTAGAATCTCAAATAATTTTCAATCAAAACCGCCTAAAAAAGTGTTAAAATTATTAAATTTATAAATAAAAACCATGCCAAAAGCTCACTATATGTATGTCATTCAGTTTTATACAGCTCCTGTAAAATTTAATTTTATGTTATTATACCGTTTTGTTCGCCAGCCCCTGATACGTATGTAAACAACAATAATATATATTGACTTTGAAATAGGATTCCAGGTCTAAAATTCTCTCATCCTGTGATAACTCATTTTGAAGTTTGGGTAGTTTTAAAAATTTGGGAATAATTTTATTAATGTTTGCTTACGCACGTTGGGGGCCCCCGTGGCCCGGGGCCCCCGTATCATTGATACGGCAAATACGGCGCGGCTAGCTAGCTACGCCCCTGTGTGAAAGTTTTTAAGTTTGTGACTCAATCACGCAATAACAATTGAACGGATTTTAATTAAAATTGTTACGCATATAGTTTATGACTTGAATGAGACATGAGATACTTTTATCCCTGAAAAATGTTTAAGGGATTTTCTTAAGGGATTTAAAAAACTAAAGTTATTGCGGACGAAGTCGCGGGCGGCCGCTAGTTTTATTATAAAACATAAAATCAAATAAAAAAAACAACAGCATATCCATAATAACCTTTCGTATGAGTACATATTTATAAATTCCAATCCAATATGGGCGGTAATAGCATGACAGAAAAAAGGGTGGTAGTGCGGTGCGGTGTCACCAGTTCACCATACGCCGTACGTGGGTCATCCTCGCCTCACTGAATAACAAGTATGTCAACTAAACAATCGTGCCCTCAACCAGATCAATCAAGAGTGGTTTGGATAGTTTCACTCATTCTTTAAGCTTAATTTTAAAAATGCCATGGCCACTGGTGTCGAATTAATAATTTCATCGATTTGCAACGCGACATTTTGCGATTCGATCTACGATGACCAACCAATAGGTAAATAGGTTTCTGGGTGTCGTTACTTTAGTTAGTATGTACTTTAGTTCTGTTGTAAGTTATTGACATGGGTTAAATAGATAAAAAATATAACAAAATTATCTTTCTCATTACGCATTACAATTAGCTAAAAATATGTATATTTACTTTTTTATAACGGTAAAAATTCAAATCATAATAAGCTATTTACCCCCGTTTTAGGGTTCAGTAGTCCTGCCAAGGAACCCTTATAGTGTCGTCATGTCCGTCTGTCCATCCTCGAATTTGGGTGGAGACTATTAGCGCTAGAGAGCTGTAATTTTGTAGAGATATGTTTATCTATCACGCCGACAAAATGGTAGAATATTAAAAAAAAAATGTTTTTTACGGTAGTTCCCCACATATAACCGATGCACCAGTTCTTTTGATTTTTTCCACCGATTATAGTAAATTTTGTTATCTACAGTGATTTAACTAAATGGCGTTCACAGTGAGCTAAAAAAGGTTTCATTTTCTTTACAATATTGTTCTAAGAATTAGTTGTTGAAAGATAGTGCTGTAAAAGCTGGTCTGACGGCAATTTGGCAATTCAATTGCTTTTAAAGAGCTGGCTGGCAATAGATGATCGAAAAAGGGTCGAGATCGAGTGAATGCAATATGAATACGTCGAGTAAACGTTTACTAGACATGTTTTTACAGCCAAAAAGCGTTCAATGCAATAAAATCCAGAAAGATGAGTTTATATGGCTTTCTGAAATAATAGGATCTATCATACGAGTGTTATTCGATCTATAGTCGAGAGAGTAATCAATTATACGATGGTTTTGCTAGTTGTGTCCTACATATCCCATGACACTTGAGTGTGAAGTTTACACTTCAAAATCCTTACCTTTACTATAATCAAAAAATGGTACTTATAATCCTCATTAATGTTTCTTTAGATGTACAAGAAAAGCTTAAGGTTAGTAAATTCAACAACCTCCCCAACTATGTAAACGGGACACATCTTAAAATCGGAACATACAATGTAAGTATATTAATGTTTCCTACCATTTTAGACGATTATCGCTTAATTAATAATGGTCATTTAAACGATTTACGCTTAACGCATCAAATGGCTTAGCCAAGTAAGCTCAGAGCGTGACGAAAACGAACACAAAGACTTCGTATCACAGTTCCTCAGTACAAAATTTCAATGCTTGACCGGGCATCTTTAAAAGGAATTTGATTTTAATTTGTCGACATTAATAGTGTAAAAAAAATATGTTCTGTTTCTGCTACAACAGCAATTTTTGCACGTGAACTTTCACGTAAATTTACATAGGATTCGGTAGTTTGCTATATCTTGTTTAAAGAAATCACCCCGAAAGTGTGGACTTTACCTGCCGTTATATTTCATATTGTTCCTATGAAATTTTATCCATATTACCAAATATGGATCCTTATGAGAAATAAACGATATCTTTACGAGCATGATGGGCCAAGTCTTCTACCTATTCCATCTCATAAGGAAGGCGTGTGCCCCAGCAGCAGTAATATATGGCTACGATGATGTAAGTAGGTAGTCAAATCCAAAGCGAATGCTCTAACTTTCAGAATCGCCCTCTAAGTTGGGTGGATGTGAGTGAAAATGGCACCCTCACAGGAAACGGAGTGGCTTTTATCCTTGTGGACATTCTACAGAAGAAGTTCAACTTCACTTACGAGGTGGTGGTACCGGAAAGGAACTTTGAGATGGGTGGCGTCAACCCGGTGGATTCCTTGATTAGCCTCGTCAACAATAGCGTGAGTTATATTCAATCTACATAAGTTAGCTCTTCGGGTACAACTGCGTATGAATTGAAGTCCAAAAGTATCTTTTTTGGATGGCAAACATGATATACATATCTATTATGGATGCATGTCTGCATTCAATCAGCGGGTACGATCCTGCGCTCCTAAGGGTGCTATTATCCATCAGGTATGACCGCGCGTTTCAGTTGGTAATCTAGTCTGCATCCAATACCCGATAACCCAGTGTACCCTCTCTCGAACACCAATGCATATGTGAAGCTTAGAGCCGTCGTTTAGTCCCCACCATCTTGCACTAAAATTAACAAAAACTTTTTTTTTGTTAAAAGGGTAGCAAAGAAGATAAAAAACAACGAAATTATTTATTCAGTCTAGGTCTGCAAGATGGTTATAAGCTGTTCTGATTGAACGTCAACTCTATGCTATCGAATCGTAAATCTACGGCAGGAGACCTTTTTCTGAGAAGAACCGGAAAGATGCTCAGCAAGGGTTATTTTTTTCAAGCATATGGCCTGCCTGATACGAAGCGGCTCCCATAGCCTATAGTATAGACGCTTGAGATATTGAAAAAATACGACTCGGGTGGGCCGTTGAACATTGACCGAATCCCTTACAAGGAGCTCTGTAAGGGAGAGATAGAATCAGATGAAGCGGCAGAAAGTGTGCCGCTCCAACCATCCTCGGCTTGCCGGTCTGAACCCAATCCCCTACCCTGCGGAACCCTGGAACATTACTCAACGACAGAAACATAACACCACCAAGAGGTAGTGTTATTTTACTGTAATCTTCTTTAAGGTGGAGGTAACTTCCCTAAACGGAGGCACTAATTCAAGCGGAGAATCTGCTATGCCTTACCTCTCCTAACTATAATTTGCTGATACTGGGGTGGTGCACAAAAAAAAATATTCCATTCGTTAATTCCCGCCTGCAGCCTGGTCCGCGTGGATTTTTTTCTAGTAAAATTTCTTTAGCAAAAAAAATAATTATACAGGGCTGCTGACACGGTAATATAGATAACTAGCTGACCCAGCGAACTTCGTACCGCCCTAAAAAAATAGGGGTTGTCCAGCGGACACACACAAAAAATTTCATCAAAATCGGTCCAGTCGTTTAAGAGAAGTTCAGTGACATACACACTCACAGAAGAATTATATACATAAAGATATTACCGTGCTTCGGAGCTTCACAACGCATGCTAAGCCACAGTTACTGCTACATCCGCAAAATCCCTTATCTCGTACAGCTGTGACCTTGGACCTTACAGCTGTGGAACATAACAACAGAATATTAACGTGTTTTTCAACGGCAGTCTTTTGTTAGGAGAAGGTTCCTTCTACTAACGAGACTTCCACTCCAGTAACCTATACCCCTCTTAATTTGGTCGCGTCTTCACTTGCACCTTAGTAAAATAAGAATTTGAAAGTGTTCCTTTCATATCTTCGTTTCAAAGATGGTGGATTTTGCTGCTGCCTTCCTACCGAAGATAGGAATGTACGTCGACAAAGTGAAATTCTCTTATGACCTGGACGAAGGCGTTTGGATGATGATGCTAAAGAGGCCCAAGGAATCGGCTGCGGGCTCCGGCCTTCTTGCTCCTTTCAATAATGCCGTATGGTGAGAATAACAGATATTTTTTAAGAGATGCTCGGGAAATCATATTATTCTTTGTTGTCTAAGACGAGCTTGAATTGAAAAGATAAAGGCTTACATAAATAAAGATATCATCATCCGTCTCTTAATATCACTAATGTTGAGGCAGAGACTTTGCCTATGCATGGAATGGGACTGCATAGTGGGCCACGCTATGTGGTGCCAGTAGGAATTGATGGGTGGATGGATAGATCTCCTCCAAATTATTGACTATAACCCTTATATTTTCATCAGGTATTTGATCCTCGTGGCGGTTCTGTCGTACGGCCCGTGTATAACTTTGCTCACAAAGTTGAGATCAAAGCTTATTCCGGATAAAGAGAGACCAATACGGGTGTACCCTAGCTTCTGGTTCGTCTACGGAGCATTCATTAAGCAAGGGACAAATTTATCGCCTGAAGCGAGTAAGTTTTTGAAAATGCTATACATAAACAGATCAAAAAAAGTTTTAGCAACATGCATCATTTACGCAAACTGACAGTTTTAGGGAGTTTCTGAGAAAGTAGGGTAACTTTTCGAACAGACGATTTTAGACTTACGTAGCACGAAAATTACTTTCGCTTGGGCCGAATTTTCAATGCTTGGATTAAACGTACCTATTTGCTGAATAAATTTTATTTCTCAATCAAAAAGAAAGTGCTATATCGCATTAAAAAATTCGCACTTTATCATAGTAAGTTACAGAAAACAGCACATTAACTAACGATATTAAAACGAATGAAAAGTAATCTTATATTACCTACCTGGTTACGCGGTGTATTGTTTCTTTTCATCGCATTTTAAATGTAATACAGTGAAGAATATTATATTTTTATTTTAAGCATTTAACTGCTAAACATTTAAAAAATTCCACCGGCCTAGGTTTCAGACGGGATTCGAAGCCGCTTCCTTATGCCCGGATAGCTTAATACAATGTAGTTAGATATACTATGGAGGTAAGAATCAAATTTTAAAAAGTATTTAGTTAAGTAGGAACATTAAATATAAAGCATAAAGCTATCGAACCGTAAAATATCAATACCAAATATTGCTGTGATTACAACACGAAACATAATCTTTACGGTCAATCCTGTTTAATGTTGATGGCATCTACTAATGGTTTGACTCATCCATCACACTACGGTCACACCCTTTTATCAAGCCACAGTAATTACAGTAAAAACACCCTTGTCAAAGTATAAGGTGCATGACGTACGATTTGTTGATGGAAAAGCATTGACAAGACGAGGGCTGGCCACGATGGTGACCTTCATTATAAAATGTAAATTATACCCAAGTACCTACAACGAAAATATTTTTCATGTTAGTAGTAATTACATAGCTTTGTTTTATAAATAACAGTTTTAGGCAAAATTAGTTGCTCGGATTCCTTAATAAGTTAGTAAATCGTCATTACATAGAACTCGTGTTAAAAATTATCATATTCATCAAACAATATTTTGCCCCTTACCGGGATCCAAACTGAGGAAGTCAGAGCATGTGACACCTTGAAAACCGGTGTACACCACGCAGGTCATCATGATAGTATAGTCTATAGTCCACATGTTGTATTAACTTGTAATAAGGCAGTCTAATAGCTCAATTCCACTCTCTGTTTTTTTAAGTATCTAACTGCTAGATTTCTAAAACTAAAGATTTTTTTCTAGAAAAATCTACTTGGACCAGACAGCACACGGGACTCAAACCCGCACACTTCGCTATCCGGGCGAATGCATTGACCATTATGCCACCGCGGCAATTACACCTGTTTGTTAGCCTAACGGGTAAACGACTCATTGCTCGATTACACTTGGTCGTTAGCTTGAATACAAGTGCCAATGGAATTCAGGTAAACGGCTAAGGGTAAATGAACGGAGTCGAGTACGCCCATATTCCAGTGTAAATATTGCTTCAGCTGCCCGAATTCGAGTAATGTCTTTCGTGCACCCGAAAATGACTCATGATCAAGTGTAACTGAGCCATTATTTTTCGTACTATTCTCAGATACAACCCGTGTACTGTTTACAACTTGGTGGCTATTCATAATTCTCCTGTCGGCATTTTACACGGCCAATCTGACGGCTTTCCTGACCCTCTCCAAGTTTACCCTTGACATAGAGTACCCGTTGGATCTGTACAAGAAGAATTACCGATGGATTGCGTCAGAGGGCAGCGCTGTCGAGTTCGTTGTTACAAACGTGAGTTATGTTATTAAATACCTCCTCACAGTGCCGTCTCTGACCTATTGGAGGCCCTGGGCAATTAGGATAAAGGGACCCCTATGACCCCCGTTTGGTGATTTAACAGGACTAGGGACTTAGTATTTAATCTGAGGGGGCCCCTATCGATCGCGGGGCCCTGGGCACTTGCCCAAAGTGCCCACTGGGAAAAAGTGGCCTGCCTACTCAGATTATCATTTAAAAGTTGTTACAAACTAAAAAAAAAGAGTAAGTTCAATTTCTACTCCCAAACTTAGAAAAAAATCGTTGGTTTCAATAACCTTCCTGCTCTTATACATTTAAGTTTGATTACCGCTTAGTGAATAGACATGACGAAAAATACGATAGCATGACTCTTTCTTTAACATTTCATGGTGCGGGACAGATAGAAAAGACGTAAGACGGAACGCGGACATAAAGGTACAATTCCGCAATGGGCTGCAGGCGACATTGCGGCTGGCGGCTAGCGCCTGCGGCTAACCGTGCATTATATACATTGTGCAGCCGCGGCAAGTCGCCGCGCTCGGAATCAATTTCATAGAGATTCATAGAAACTAGTAGTGTCGTCTCGTCTGCAGTCTGCAGCTGCGGCCTGTGGTCTGCGGTTCATTTCGGACTTGTACCTTAATGTTCCATGTATACTCTAAGTCCGAAACGTATAGAGTCAAGGCGCAAAACTTATAGGAAACACAGGGCACGGGCACGACGCTTCTTCGTTTTGTATGAAACTGACAATGTCCGCGCCCCGTCTGCGTTTTACGCATAGATTCTTTTCTGTGTGTCCCGAGCCTAAGTTACATATTGTTTCATTCTCTCTGCCTTTTTTTTAAGCCAGTTTTTATTAAATGGCCTCGCCATCAAACGCCTCTCCTTAGAGTGCGCAATCCCGTTGAGGTTTCTGTTGTTTCCTCCCATTCGGGGGGGAGTGAAATACTCACGGATACCCGTCACAGTCTGTAATAAATCGGGCAGAGAAAGCTTCATCGACCTTAGTCCGTTGTGTCATCAATAAATCTATTTTTCCAGCCTAGCGAAGATATCAACTACTTGAGCAGAATGATAGCCACTGGTCGTGCTCAATTCAAATCCTTCAGCAACGACTACGATTACTTGCCTCTAGTGCAGTCCGGGGTGGTTCTGGTCAAAGAGCAGACGGCTATAGATGACTTGATGTATAGTGATTACCTGATGAAGGCCAGGGAAGGGGTGGAGGAGACTGACCGGTGTACATACGTGGTGGCACCTAATGCTTTCATGAGGAAGGTCAGGGGGTTTGCTTATCCGAAGAACAGCAGCCTGCCTTTACTGTTTGATAGCGTGTACGTATTAAGATCTTAAGATTTAGTTAAATCGATAGATAGGTAGATAGATAATTCTTTATTGAACACACCAGATTATAAATATATTAGAAAGTAAGGGCAGTAATTTAAAAAAGTGGACAATTGGCGGTCTTATGGCTATGTAGCCATTTCTTCCAGACAACCATAGGATTGAGAGACGAAATTGAAATAAAAGAGGACCCCCTCTTGCAATTACAAAACTAAAATAGACAAAAATAGAAATCAAAATATAACAATGATTAACATTACTATTCATATTATAAAACAGAAACTGATAAAAATACTGATAAATATTCAGTATAATAATCTATAATAAAATAAATTTATTTCTGTGGTCGCATTAGAATAAGTCGATCTCATTTTTCATGGTTGCCAAAGAGACTTACCGCCTTATTCTAGACCGCGGACTCAAGTCAGTCTTCGCTTAAACCTATGTCTCTGTCTTTTTATTAGTAAACAAAAGCGAAAGCATCAATTTTAGTCCACGTTTTGTAAAAACACGGTTAGGGTCTTATTGTATCTTTTATAACGATTGTGATCCCTTTTATTATTTAATTGGAAAAGATATTATTTCGTATAAGTTAACATTGACTATCGCTTTACATCTGAAGGGGATCGCGATAATAGTTAAAATAATAGACACTCAGGCCATTTATCTATTCCATTATATTCCAGAGAAAGTAGGTGTGCATCAATTTTAATTATTAATATGATTAACAATCTTTTAGCTTCAACTTTATCCTGCAAGCCGGCATAATAGACTACCTTGAACGCCGTGATCTGCCGACAACAAAGATATGCCCTTTAGACTTGCAGTCGAAGGATCGCCAGCTGAGGAACAGCGACCTGATGATGACTTACATGATCATGATTGTGGGTTTGTCGGCCGCCGTAGCCATTTTCATCGGCGAGGTATTTATTCCAAGTCAATGTTATAATAAAATATTCATTAGTTCTTAGAGAATCTAGAAGTAGGTGTTCACTGCAAAGTAATACCTATAGCTTTAGTTGGCAGAAACATGGCGATGACGTCATTAATTAGATTTAAAACAGTTAGGTAATTTAGACGCTCGACCCCTTGTTTTTCTGAAATCAGAACTCAATATATCTTTATTCAATTTGGATGTATTTTTTTTTGATCATTCAACTCTTTTGTATGATCAAAAAAAAATTTCCTCTAAACAATAAAGTGAAATTTCTTGAGGCAGACTTTCCCTATGCATATATGGGACCACATGGTAGGCCATGCCATGTGGTCCCAGTTGAAATTGGTGTGTTTATTTACTTTAGGGTTATCAGCAGAAGCCATTTAAAGGCATTCGTTACTGACTTATACAGTGTAAACTCTACATAACGACACTAAAGGGACTGTACATTTTATGGAGTTATAGAGTTGTCAGAATTATGCAAAGAATTAAACACAATACCCTGTCTGCGCGTCGCGCTTCGCGCTCTTGCATTGCGCAGTCGGGTAAAAAGTCCGTTCAAGCTAGTGGTTATGTACTTAAAAAAATAATCGTAATTGAACGCTATTGCGTATATTCTGTTATTTTTGTCTGATGTCTTTTGCTGCACCAGAAATTTTGTTGTATTATATTTTTTTAGTCATGATCAACAACAGCCTACACGTGCAATCCCAATTTGTAAACAAAAGAACAAATTTCTTAGAAAGTTTGGTTTGCATAATGCCGACAGTCGAGTTTATTACTGGCTAGGATATTAAAGCGATAAAAGAACGTACACAACTGCGCGGTTTTCACTAATTTTGGTAACTTTAAAGGTAGGTACTTTTTATTACGTAACTGTTGTCGTTATTGAGAGTGGGTGTAATGCTATATGGAGTGCATCATTGTATGGAAAACAAACTAAACCAACCAAAGACGAGTGATTTCGACGCTTTAGGGAGTTTGTCGTTAAATCGAGTGACGTAACATGGAGTTTACACTGTATTTTCATTTGTTCATACCAAATCGTTATTGGACCGGAGTGCCAGATTAATAAATAAAAAACGCCCCTGTTAATCAACATAACGTACTATACTTGGCAAATCCTTAAAATAAAAAAAAAATGATATTGGTTCTCTTCCAGGTGATAGTGAAACGCTACATCCCCGTCAAAGTCACCAAGATCAAGAAGTCCAAGCATAAGAAGACCAAATTCGATGACAATCCCAAAATCTACTACGACGACAGCCGTCCCCCGCCATACGAATCTATATTCGGCAAGAACGGCAAGTTTAAAGTAACTGAGAATAGTAAGCGGAGAATTATCAACGGCAGAGAGTATCTGATAGCGAAAGCTTCAAATGGAGACACTAGGCTGATACCGGTGAGGACACCGTCGGCCTTCTTGTACTATAGGGACCAATAAATCTAGTCGGTCCAATATGGATCTTAGAGCATTAAGAACAAGGACACGTGATTTCTTATAACAATAAATTATAGTATGTATGCAAGATAAATTGTCGTATGACACCATGACGCACTCTAATAACAAAACCTTTTGCCAAGTTTTGCATAGTGTCATAAGATTGACAGTTATATTTTTTTTAAATTTTTAAGCATTTAACTGCTTCATGTTTTAAACCTAAAGAAAATATAACTAGAAAAAATTCATGCGGACCAGGCAGCAGACGGGTCTCGAACCCGCACCCTTCGCAATCCGGGCGAATGCACTGACCAATTATGCTACCGCGGCCCTATAGGGCCCTATAGGGATGTCCCGTCTGCTGCTTGGTCCGCATGAAATTTTTCTAGTTATATTTTCTATAGATTGACAGTTATCTTTTATCGATATTTAAGGTTGAATTTTTTTGACTTATTTATGGAAATTTTGAATGATGGGTTTTCTTTTGCCTTTGTTGATATTAACGACATGATGGATGTAGTATTAGTAGTAGTAGTAGTTTATCACAATTGGTAAAACACAAAACGTGTAGAAAAAAACCTACCCTAGAATTATTTTAATCTTTTTATTATGAGGCTTGTAATCTTCAGTATATTATCAATGTTACTTGTTATATAATCTATAAAATGGCACTTCGCACAGGAGCAGAAAGTGCTAGTAGTAATTACATTAGAATAGGTATAGACGAACTGTGGTATTCAATAAAAATAATATAATTCAATACATATTTTTATTAACAGTGAAAATACATTTTCACAATTCTTCTAATATTTAAATCATGAATTCAACGCTTCTGAATCACGAAGTAAAATAATAAAAAAAAAACAATAAATTTATGCATTTCATAATAAATAAAACTATGCGGGCCTGTTGGACGACATTTTATTGTTTACTATGAAAAATAAATTATTATAATTTAAAAACAAAGGGAATATTTGTTAAAAAAAGGAGAAAATGTTAAATAAAATGTGGTTGAACAAGCCCTGCTTATTTTAAGGCTTAGCCTGTACAATATACTCATTTTGTACACAAATACAATAATAGGTACATAATTTATCTCATTATTTGAGCCGCGACCCGAGTCACGTAACACATCAGTCGTAATAATTTGTTACCACGGTAACAAAGTCTGCGTATATATAGTCATTGATTTATAATAAATTCATTTATAAAATTAATTAAAAGAGTTCCAATCTGATGTGACAATCCTCATGGAAATCTAATCTGACAGCAGCACTTAAGACTCATTTACACGATGCATTTTTCTTTAGATTCAAATCCATCAACTTCAAATTCCCGAGCAAAAATCTGAGGTAGCATTACCATCACGATTTTTGTAATTTACACTATTAGCGTCCCATAAACCTCATGATTGCGAATCTCAATGTATCAATGTATTATTTATAAACAAACCCCAATCTAAAACAATTACAAAAATCGTGATGGTAATGCATCACTGCAGCTTTTTGCTCGGGAATTGGAGTTGATGGATTTGGTACTAAAGAAAATAGCATCGTGAAGTCTTTAAATCTTTAACATCTTTTTTCTTTACAAAGGGCTCCCAACACAGCATTTATTTATTGTTATTTCATTATTTATCATAACAAAAGTAAGATGAAACACACAAACATGGTATAACTCCTGTCATCAAAGAAAGGTATCGAAAATGCTGACGAGACATTTTGTCCCTTTCGCACATTACTTAGGATATCATGTGCGAGAAGGACAGAATGTCTTACGTTAGCATTTTCGTTTCCTTACTTAAATGACACGAGTTATTACTTATATAATTCAGTTACAAATATTGTACCTGCTGTGTAGTTGAAAAACAAGAATGCACTGATGTTAAATTACCTTTATATATAGGTAATTAGGTACATAAATCTCACGTCAAAATAGAACCATTTACGACTTAAAATATATTAGTATACCGGAACAAGTCAAAATTTTCTATTAAGCGATAAAAGAGGCGTTATCAACTAGCATGAATACTTAACGTGATTTGCAATTTATTTGTATTGTAATATTTTTATGTCCTAGATATTTTTTACAAAATTCGCTTTTAATACAACAGAACTGAATGTGTATCATATTTTATCTAGGCATCGAACTGCTAGACATGTCTAAAAAAATAATAATAAGAGCAATAATCTTGGCCCAGGTATCTTACTGGAATTATATAATCAGCACTCATAGCCAGGCGTAATTACTGACCTCTATATTACCAAGCTCCTAATGGACTTGTCAAATTTCTTCTTCTTTTGTCGTATATACGAGTATCTAATGGCACATTTACATTCAGCCACTGCCAGGCCCGTCTTTCCCATTGAGCACTTTGGGCAAGTGCCCAGGGCCCCGCGATCGATAGGGGGCCCCTCAGGTCAAATACAAAGTCCCTAGTTCCTGTTAAATCACCAAACGGAAGTCATAGGGGCCCCATTATCCTAATGTGCCCAGGGCCTCCTATAGGTCAAAGACGGCACTGGCCATTGCCATTAGCGTTTGCACTGTGAAAAAGTACTCGCTAAAATACTACTGCAGCAACGTCAAGAACAATGTGTGTTTCAACTTATGACAAGGGAGGTGAGAGAGATGTGTTGAGAGCGAGCGGGACAGCAACAATCGCGCTTTTTGCAGGTACGACGGACCGCGCAAAGGTTAACATCAATGGAAGCGACCTACGTGTCGATTCTGCTAAGTTGTAATAAGTTTTCAGTTGTTTGAATTTTTATACACTTAGATCTTTCGAGCGTCATCGTAGTGGCAGCATCCGGGAAATTTATAGTGAAAATCCGCTAGTGTGTCTCTTATTGGTACTAAACACAAAATCAATAGAAGACTGTATCATAAGGGAGCAAAATAATGTTTTTACGGCGAGGGCGCCTTTTAAGGAGAATCCTTAACGTAGCGAGGGATTCAAAGTAGGTACGTCGCCCGAGCCAAAAATATATTTTATGCCAGAGTGATACACTGTACTTTTCATCACCTACTATGAGAAAATAAAAGGGGCCTCATATTTTATTGTAATATTATTATTTAATAAAACAGAGTAACAAATAAACTGAAATTAAATATTATCTAATAATAAAACAACTAAAAACTTAAATTCACATTTGAGACATTTTCGCAATAATGAAAATTTATTGTTACAGTTTTATTAGGATTAGAGATTGTTGTTGATTTTATATTCTGCATCTTTGAAATAATGTCCGAATCTGGCTCAGTTTGAGGAAAATGGGCCCCACAAAATGTAAATACTAAGAGCCGTCGTACCAGTCAGTCTTTAATCAATCAATATTTGCATTCGATTTCTTCGGCTCTAAACACTAAGATGTTCTAAATTCAAAAAGATAATTGCAGCTCACTTATAAAGAGGATTAAAAACTCATTACTGCCCGCTAAAAGTTTCTTATAGAAAACACCACCTTTGGGTGCACTTAAAGGCGAACCAAGTCGTCCTTTTCGAATAGATGGGATGAAAATATATTTGCTTACGCGTTAAATCGACACATCCTGTTGAAATGCACGTATTACCTATTTTATTATCCATATTCCTGCTAGTTACTGCGCGTATGGGCTGAATGTAAACGGGGTATTTGGCTGCAAGGCAGCGCCATCTGCACACATTGTAGCATAGAATAGTAGACAGTGCTTTCGCTCGGGTAGCGAAGGACGAGATCGTACATGCCAGAGCCAAGTTGATTTATTTTGTAGTAAAATTTTCTTTAGATAAGTTACCAGAATTTGCAATTTTGACGAATATTGCAGACCAATTAATTTGAGACGCAAATATTATTCGCTATACAGTTGCCTGAATATCATATAATCAACGAGCATCCAGTTATTTACTTATAGTAACTAGTCCATTGATTTTGATATAACAGTTCAATGTTTGTGTTATCTATCGCAAATAAGTGAGAAAAATATTTAATTTTCTACTGACAAGAGTTTCGTATCAGGAGCGCAAAATAATACGTTAGTATAACTATTATACATGTTCTACAGCTATAATTATTATGATTGTGGATAAGATCACCCAGAAGAACAAATAGTGTGCAACTAATATACGCTAAATTGATTATTTACCTAACATAAATTCTATTATCATAAAACATTTTAGCTAACTTCACCCAGATACAGACCTTAGGACTCAAAGATATCAATTAAATTTAATGCTTCATTAGGGGTCACTTTTCTAATTCTATTGATATCGCAATGAAAGCGACACCATCAACTTTATTGAAACTTAAAAGTTAACTGAAGTCTCTGAGTGTGACTGATTTTTATAGTAATCGTAAAGTTGTGTCACCCTTAGATCCAGAAGATCTCTAAAATGATCGTATCAGTTTACCCGCATTTAATAATGTGGACTCGAACTTACACTAAAAATGCTAGACCTTGACGTAATGTTCCTATGTAAGAATAGTCGTCATACTAAAATACGGCTCTTTATCTGAATGACCTTGTTTCGTTGGTAAGTTTACTATTAGTATTCCCTATTATTGGGATAAATCTATAAATCTACTTAAACACATCACTGCATCTTTGTCATATTTGAAGTTAATAAATGAAGTCTGAATTTGATTCCATTTATGGAGCACGGAGCGGACATCCGCTGCCCGTGTAGATTCGTCGGAAGCGTAAACAAAATTAGACTTCTAGTGATACAATAATAATATATATAATACCTACTCTTTGCCATAAAGCCATATATTATCTCAAAATCGTCTGATTGTTCGACTATGGACTTAAACAAAGACCTCTAGAGCCACTAACCTTTTTTTTTGTATTTATTCGACATTTGCCCAGTGATAATTCTTAAAGTAATATAAGTTATTTACGAGATTGCTACCTTGTTTTTAGCGAGTTTCCGATATTTCGGCACTGTTGCAAGCGCCATGATCACGGAGTAACTGAAGTAATTGCGGGTAGGCTGTTATTGGCAGACATATCGGTTTACCCTCCGACGAAGTATTTTACTGCGTTTGATACCCGTACCACTGTTCACATTCTCACTATTCACTCGAAACTGTTTTCGACACACAACACTTACAGTATCGGACCGCGACACGACACTTTTTTGATTATTTCCGGTTTTACACATACGAACCACAGGATTCCAGACACTCGACAATTTAAACCTGTCTTCACGATTGAGAATTTTATGTTTTGTTATTTGAATCGCTTCCCTGACCAATCTTGGTATGTAGTGGCGTTCTTTCATGATAATCTGTGGGTTATGAAACTCAATCCAGTGGTTAGGAGCAGAATCAATCAAATATTCTGCGATGTCTGATTTCTGCGTATCGTTGTTCTTGATTGCTTTTATGTGTTCCCTCATTCTGTATGATACTGTTCGCTTTGTTTGGCCAATGTACGAACTGCCACAGCTGCAATCGATCTTATAGATCATGGCGCTTGCAACAGTGCCGAAATATCGGAAACTCGCTAAAAACAAGGTACATGGTAACAATCCCGTAAATAACTTATATTACTATAATGTTAGTGACCATGAAAGTTTAAAACAATATAGTGATAATTTTATACTATTATTTTCCGGTTTTGTCTGTGGATTAAGTAAAGTAAAAAGGCTCAACGGGATAGGATGTGAGGTGATGTAGGTAGGTGACGGTGTAACTGATTCTCTGGTATAGCGTGTATCTTTAAAATATAGTAGCTGCTTACAATCAGCTAATATGATATAAGCTTTTTTGCCATCTTTAAATTAAAATGCTCTAGTGTTATTTAAATAAAACCATTTATCGTGTTGTTTTAAATTACTTTAGTACTGCTTTTCTGCCATACCAGCTCCGTCTACTCCAGATAAAGAACCGTTTTAGAAGAGTAAGGTAGTAATTATTCCTAATAATAATGTAACAAAAAATTCTATTAAACTATTTACAGATTTATTTATTAAAATGCATATTTTTTTGGAAAGTAAATCTTTACATTATTGCTAGTGCAGCCGAGGTATGTGCCGTCTCAACTTCATTTATATTGAACACATTTGGATGAGTTAAGGCTAATTTAAGAGTCAACATTTCATGAAACCCGAGTTTAGGAAGCGCCCTATAATACATAATTATGAAAACGGTCTCCTTTATTATTGTGCTAGTGCTAAGTTTTCTAGAAATTGGATAATAATATTTATGATAATAGGTAATAAGTTTCAATTTTGGTTTAAGTGCATATACTCATGTAGTGTGTTTAACGTGATGTGTTAGTATTAAAATGTAAGTCTAATCCATGGCAGCAAACCAGTTCATAAAAATAAATATTTGTATATCTATTCATGAAAACAATGATCGCGATCACGATAAACTAAAATGACATATCGAATTTCACAGTACAAGTGTTCACAATATTACTTCAATAAGATTTGATTTGCCCTTGATTTTATGATATTAATAAAACGTTTACGAATTGGTACAAGGTACTTACATACATAACAAATAAAATACGATAAAAAAAAACAACATAATTTACATTATTCAATTCAACCTAAGTTTTGGTGGATATTTATATTTATGAATGAATGGGTTAAAAATCATCAAAATTCAATTCACATAAGAAATTACAGTATTTACTATACAAAAGCAATAATTTTGGTAAAATAGTATACAAAATGTATAATAGCATCAATGTATAATACAATAGATGTCGCAGACATTTTTCTGTTTGATAAGATTCGTACAAATATAGCAAAAACCCGTTTCTGATATTCCTATACTGTTTATAAATGGCTTTTTAGTCATAATTTATTGCCCCTTAAGAAAGTTATCATAAAACAAATTACCTATCTTAAATATTTACATATCTCACATATGTTTACTGAAAAAATCGAAAGATGATGATAACATTTCGATTTTTAGCACTTCTCCATCGTAAGGTAGGTACAAAAAAAGTTTTTTAATTTTATGACATCAGTGTCTGCTGCTTAACTTGAACCATTGGGTCTAAAATAGCGAGATAGCACGTCTACGTAATACATTGTTCATAATGCTTAAGTTTTTCAAATCTGAAATGTAAAATTATAAGTAATTTGTACTACATTATTAAATTTCATAGATATGAGTTTGTAAAACAATTTAAGAATTACGATTTTAATGAAACCTATTACAGATATTCTATACAAACTGCGCTATTTTAGACCACTAGGACTCCTAGTGTTATTATGTTATGGGTTGATATCCAATAGCTAAGAAATCAAAAATATTGTATATATTAAATGAAATTAGATAATTAAAAAGAGCTGATATTTGTTCATTAATACTATTATACAAATATTACTCCGATTATTGGTAATTTTATATCATAAATTAAATTGTATGTTATATAAAACAAAGTATTATGATAACAATCATAAGTGCTTAAGAGGTGTTCAGGATACGAATGTACTTGAATGATATTAAATCAGGTACTATTTTAGAATTAGCACAGTGCATACACATAATTATAATAAGTATATAATGTTATAATAACATAGTCTACTTAAAACACTTGGCTAGGTGATTAGGCATTTGATAACATTGTTTGTGTAAACTATGTCATTTCATCCACGTGGCAGTTTATTATCAGGTCATTAACCCCTTTATTAAAATTGTAATTTCTATTATACTTTCTCGTATCAAAATAAAGTAGCCAACACAAATGATTTGTTTGATAATGAAAAAATATATCATCAGTATGTGATTGTACTTCATGAAATCAAATTAGGATACCAAATATCAATCGATCGAAGGAAAAATAAAAATTAAATCGGGCTTGTCAAAACGCACACTGTTAATGAATGTCTTATAATGATTTCGAAATTTCATATTCTTGTTACCGATAAAAACGCAAGCTTAATTTAAATTAAACACACCCTTTTGGGAATTTATCCTAAAATTTATGCGACATCATTAACAAATTTCTTACTAAATAATATAATCAAATATATTTGTCTCACAGACGAAATTCGTTTAACACAAATTAAATATAGTAAGCAAAGACAACAACTTTCAACTCTGATTTGGTATTTACCACCTTATTGCTACACAATAGTGTGTATTTAAACTAATTATAAAACCTTAATATAGTTTTAGCTAATCAACACGTTAGATATTGTAGCCAGACTACGCTTAAGTATTTAACTTTGCACCATTGCATCTTAAGCCCTTTACACACGTTGACATAAACCGCCTTATCACAAAACGTAGACTAAAGTTAAACCTGGACTAAAACTGATGCTGTCTCTTTTGTTTTCTAAAGAGGGGACAGATACAACGTTAAGTTTAAACCAAGACTAACTTTAGTCGGCGTTTTAGAATAATAGGGTAAGAGATTCAAGATTACGTATTAAGTTTTGATTAGATTGTAAAAAAAAAGTTGCGGGTAGAATGCAAAAGTCGATGAACAAAACCTCTTTACGCATTACCTCTCATATTACGTGCCATACTTCGGTTTCTTTTTGCAATACGCCATAGAACATAGCTGCTATTTTAGATTAGGTTCATATCAGCGACGCAGGACGTGTTTATAAATTATTTCTATGCATTATATTATTCAGTTAGACAAGAGACGTTATCAAAGACTTATGTACATTGAAACAATCTATTGAATGATACTGTTACTTCAAAATATTATTATCAGTTCGTGTTAATTATCATCAATAAGGAATTGATATTTCCGTCTAGGACAAATAATACTTAAAGTGTCACTAGGAGGAGGTCAAAATTGGAAACTTTGATAAACGTCCGTGTGCTTCGTGTGTATGTACTACTTAGATAGAAATTCGATAATCGAAAATTTACTTAGTTTAGTTTTGTGACATTCAATAAGTGTTGGTGTTGTAACGTGTGTCTAGTCGGTAACCAGCCAGGTTTGAAACGATTGGCTGTCAGACAGCTAGCTCTCCTTCCACCAAGGGCGACGGGAGTAGGGAACTAAAATGAAAACATATCCATTATTAACTTACCACACGCACGTGCATTTAAAATGTTCTTCTATTAATATACAGTAAAACCCGTTTAAGACGATTTCACAGGGACTCAACCAAAAACGCGTCTTAAGCGGGAAAGCGTATTATGCGGGATAGGGAAATTTCAAATTTGTATGTACAATATTTAAGAATTATGTATGTTATAAAAAATGTAGTGTATTATTATTTATTATTACGTTATTTAAATTAATCATTTATTTTAGTTTTTCAAAAAGATTTTGAGGCATTAAGTAATTACAAGATTTTTAACATAATTTAACTTTTACAGCGCGTCTTCGCTTTGATTCAAAGAAGACAAAATCGGAGTTGACATATTTTCTATTTGATCATTACCACTTAGGGCCTCTTCTTGTGTGTTATTCACATTCTCATTGAATTTTATGCTGCTGCAAAAGGTGCTATGTGTGGTACGTGTATGCGATTTAGGCGTATTAAACGGGATGGCGAATCTTATTAAGCGTTATAAAATGTATGAAAACATGTCTCAAGTTGCAGGGACTAACGCAAAATGGCGTATTATGCGGGAAATCTTATTAAGCGTGATCGGTTTAAACGGCTTCTACTGTACAGTGCGGCTGGATAGTTGTTTATGCCTCTGTACCCCAAATTATATTCATATTAAGACACGCGACAGTTAATATTTAACAATAGCTGGAATTTTCTCCAGGCCATCGAACTCGAAATAGTTGGTCCTTCGAGTCCTTACTCGGCATCTACTCAACTAACCCGCATTCTAAAGCTTCTACATTCCAAGTAGCTGACCTTGCTTGTTGGTCCATGTTTGAGCAGAGAGACTCTGATCTTGAGCCCATGTTGCGTTGCCGGCAAAGGTACGGTGTGACGGCGGGCGACGGTGTGTTATGGTCCTGTAAGCGAAATAAAAACGATATACCTATCTGACATTTACAAAACTAAAATAAAATGAAACAAAACAAAGCGGTTCAAATGCTAACCCAAGCGGTGATGAGCACTAGCATAATATGGAACACACGTAACTATAATGCTGCTAAACAATAGGGCAGATGTTTTATCAATCACAGTAATTCACACACCTAAAGATAATTGTAATGATTCTCATAATAATTTAATTATATATACGAAATTACCTCCATTATGATATCCAATTACTTACAATTACAGTCGAATGTTACTGCGCTACGTTGAAGTTACTGGTGCGTAAATAAAGCGTTTACAATACATCAAAGATGCTAGAATTGGCTTGAAAACTAAACAGAACTATTACTTTGATGAAAAAAATTTATCGGAAGCTTGTAATTTTGTTTGCACTGCATACTTAATTCAGCAATGTAATGGGGAATCGGTTGATTATGGCGCAGTAAGATACGGCTATTTACTAGCAATGTCGACGTACTTCGCATGTCCTTGCCCCGAGTACTCGTTAAATATTCCTGATCGCCGACAATCTACTAATATAATTTCTTTTTTACCTTTGATATGTATTTCTGAGTATTTCGCTTAAGTTTGTTTTCGATGAGCGGTCAATTTCCATACAGAACAAAGGTTAGAACAATTTCCGGGACCTTTGTGGGAAAGTGCATGGCTACCGATCGATGGTCATCGCATCGAAATCGGTCTTTTGAAATGTCATGAACATTACCACGATATTGTTAGCTATTACACTTTGTTGATACTGTGCAGTCTTTATATCAAAAGGTTCGAAAATTAAAATTTCTTTTCCAAATGGCAGACATATTTTTACACAAAGTGAATTAACAGTTCGCACCAAAATGATCTTATTATTGTAAGTTTAGCTTTTTACCTCTTACAAATTTAGTTTAGATAAAATAAAATAATTAAATTCATCCCTAAATATAAGGTTAGTCAGACAATTATTAATAATTATATATCCCCTCGTCTGTGTATGTGGATGATTTCTGCCACGAGTTGAGAAAGTTATTTTCATATTTGAATTTTTTGCGTTTTATCATATTTAGTAATGGTTTTTAATTTACACATCTAACGGTGTCGATTCTGGCGTGATTCTCTAAATTTAAAACTAAATTTAACATCAGTCTCTCCTTTTCAATCTGTATAGAGAATGACAGGGATGCACTGTTGTCAAATTTAAGTTTAGCTTTAGAGAATCATGACAGAATCGACATCATTAAATAGATAAGTTTTTAGAGAAACTATTCCTTGATTAAGCCTGGATGTACAATAGAACTGTTCGACCAACAATTCTATAGATAACGGGTTGCATACAAAATAAAAGCTTAAAAACTGTCCGCGTATGTTTAAACTTATGCAGTTACATTCGCTTCCCAATGAACAAAGATAAATATTTTAAAACAGTTTAAGTTTTACCTAATAACAACTATCTCACAAAGGAATAAGGTTACAAATAACAAAATATTATTTCGCATATGCGACCTTTTATCTTATAATACGTACCCTTGTTCCTTTTATAAATTATATCTGATACTTGGAAAAAAACGATAAATGTGAAAAAAGGAAAATGTAAAATCAACCCACAAAATAAAATACTATTGGTATACTACTAATTGGTCAGAGAATTAACCGAACTAATTTAAAATAAGATCTCACGCATCAAGTGGGGCTATATTTACCCAGACGGATTCTACGCGCTGACCCGTTCTATGGAATTGTTGATCGAAGGTAGAACTCGAATAATAAGAGTAATCAGGTGAAAAACAAAGTGTACACAGACCAGGGGACATGATTGCATATTAAAGAGATAATATCGAGAGAGAACACATTAAATATATTTGTTTGATGGAAAATTCATTTTTTACTTGACGTATTAACTTTTTTTTTAGTTATCTCATTGTATAGACCGCATAATTTCTCTCTGATATTATGGACTGCTCAAATAAATACAAACAACGCCACAAAACAATAATTCAAAGTCGTTTAAAAAATAAATACTTTACTGTTTCCATAACATTTCACATAAAATTTGTACATTTAAAACATTGGCACACACAGTACTATAGAAATTAATATCACATTATAAAATGCACTACGATTTTCAAGGCTCATCGATCTTCAGCGTCGCGGCCGAAGATTCTTGTGACGGCTTGACCACATTCAAAGTTATCTCCTTGAAAAATAGTTTTTATCGAACCCTTATCGATTCTAAACTGAAAAACTGCAATCGAAAAAGATAGACAGAAATACTGCTGAGAGAGCTAATGGAACTAAAACAAAAATGTTGAAAAAAAAATCTTCTAATTAACTAATTTTATCAAGCAAGGTTTTGTCAAAATTCACTTAATAATAGATACTCCTAGTAGAAATCACGAAAATGGATCACTAGTTCTGTTTTGACGTTAATGAAGCCACCAACGTGGCATCCACTGTAATATAAACATTTGCAGCTTACATCCATTGACGTATAAACAATAAAACTCAAAATCGCACGAGCCAAAAAGTGTCGGAAGCAAAATTACGCACATTTGTCTATTGTGCGTCATTTCAAAGTTTTTGTTTTTGTTAGTTCTCGCTTGTATATGATTGTTATTGAACCTTACTGCCACGACGTAAAGTGCTAATTTGAAAAAATGAGTGTCATCTATATAAGTTGATTCGTAGAATGCCACGCCACTGAGCAAATAAACATGAATAACAGAACGAAACTCTTAACTTTGTTTAATACGATATCACATGAATATATACTGATCAAAAAAGTCAAAGCAACATGTTATAAGGTTTGGAACTTTTGAACGATATTTACTATTAATAATATATAGTAATATATTTTATACTATACTATTATAAACACAATAGAAAAGTTTATATTTTTAAAATCAACCAATTATATTTTCGAGAACAACAAAAATTGCATACCAATCTTGTTTGCTAAGAAACAAATTAAACATCAATTAATTAGACATACAGTTTCTGCAAATGGTGCTTGTTGCTTAGACTATTTTGATGTGTGTATGTTATTCGAGAATTGAAAAAACAGCCCCAAGAGTTGAAAGACTTTGTTTATTATGCTACATTTCAAAATTAATAACTATATAAAAGAAAATCTTAAAATCTTCGATCCACAATCACAACCAGATGACATGTTAAACGCACACACAACGACTTAAATACTTCGTTCTTATTTCTACTTTATTGCGATTATACAAAGTTGCATTTACATAAATCATACATTTCTTCTTTACAAAATACTATAATAGTTTCTTTGATACTTTTATTTTGGTTTAATAATACTGGTGTTTACTATCGACTTGCAAAAATATTTAGTGGTGTGTCTACAAAGAGGGTTAAAATGTCGTGAAACGGCGAATAACTCAGCTCCGTTAATTGTTCGATGCCATCGACATCACGGTACCGTTGAAGATTATGCTGGAAGTTAATTTCGAACAAGATTCAGTATTTTTTGTTTGATCGCATCAATAAAGATATAACTCGCACCAATAAAAAACGAATCATAAATGACAACGTAAGCCATTCTGTCCCTTTCGCACGTGCTATACTAACTACAGAGCGAGAGAGACGGAATGTCTTGCGTCGACATTTTCGATTAGTTTCTTTAATGGCACGAGTTATACCAATTTCAATCGAATCGAATCGAAATCGAATGATGTAGCTAGCTCAAAGGATCAAGTTGTTGCGTGTGGTGTATTTCTTTAATTTATAGAATTCGATATTGCACAACCATTTAAAGGCAATTTTTATGTCGTTATTTAATGCAGCATAAATTATAGGAACTGGTGAAACACTGGTTTGTAATTGTTGTTTGAAGTATACAATATCTACACCAAATCAATTTCTTTATAAACAAAAATAATAACACTAATCATATAAATATATATATATATTAGCTCGACAACATTTTAATACATATACATATTTAAAAAGCAAAATACTTATAAACAACTAGTTAAAACATCTTGTCAATATCACAAAAACTAATAGCCGATTTTAGTACCTAACAATGTTTAATAGAAATCTTTGATACGTTAAACCTATTCAACTTCTCCGTTCGAAACGACAGCAAACATTTTTGTATATTGCATTTATGTGAAATAACAAAAATGTATATTACTTACATACAAAATTGCCTATATTTATTCTAAAAATAATACTTGAATACAAAGCTATAAATAGAGATATTACTGAATAAACTGAGCAACAATTCTAAGATTTGATCATTTATCATTTGACAGAAGTAATATGTTTTTAATCAATAAAACATTGTATATTAGTCATGTTGCATTATTTGTATACAAAACATAGAATCACCGTTGCTTGTTTAATGATCAGTGTCATATAAATCTTTTATATTTAAGGAGTGTACGCTTTGTAAAAATACTAAATAAGGGAACTTAAAGGATTTGTTATAAATCAGTAATTTAGGGATCATAAAAAACGGCTGTATTCAAGAAAGGCGGCTCTTCAATATTAAAATATTAACCATTATTCAAAAAATCCCTATCAAATAGGTACTTTGATATGATACATCTGCTATGTCATTATAATTTAAATACTATTCGTGTAAAGGTACATAGGTATTGCAAGTGATTGTCTGTGTAATATATTCTAGCAAATGAGTAAGTAAGGCACAGAGGCAAAACTTCATGCAGTGTGCGCTGTAAGTGAGCACTGGCATCCTATCGTCGCCAATAGAAACGCTTGGAACAATAATTTACGTTGAACGAATGCTAAAATATAAAGTGTTTCATTAGATCCGTGCTTTTCTAACCAGAGAGCAGTCAAACGCGTGTAAATGAGACAGTAAATCAAACTACATTCAGCTTTTTTCCAGATAGTCCAAGATTTGGTAATACTGTTCGGTTAACTTTTCGTTCAAAAGCAAAAATTTGTTTGTTTCATATGTTGACATTAACATTGAGTTAGTGAGCTTCAAAACATATTTTTTTACTATTTAATATTCAATTTTTGGCGGCAAAACATTATTATCCAACTTTCTAAACGACGAAAGAAAACTTATATATCTATCTCTTTCCAATACATTATCGAGCTTAATTGAAAGTAATGAATGAATGCACGTTGTTGCTGCTTTAGCGTTCCTTCTTAGTCAATTTATTATTCTAAGGCGTCAGTGCTCAGTCACACATGCGAGATTATACTCATGAAGTACTAGGCACTACACAGGCATGTAAGTTTGGTGTCGTTTCGAACGCTGCTTCGGCGAGGGATCGCTAACCTGCTGGTTGGGGCCGCAACACGTCGCGTTGTGACACAAGTCGTTGGGCGGGCAGTGGAGAGCGCACGGCGCCTCTGCGGACGCACCGCTCGTTATCTATGTCCGGAAAAAAAACGTATTATACTAGTTGACCTCGCGTATTTCGTACGGGTTAAAATAATTTGAAAGAAATGACAGACCCGAGTCTACCGTACCAAAAGGGGCGAACGTCAAATATTTGACAGGAAAGAAGATAAAACAGTTTATATGGGAAAATTAAATTGACTATCTTCCTCGCATTTTTCCATATTTTCTCATCTTTTAAACCCTTCCCTAGACCTCCACGAACATTTCAAGACCAAGATAAGATAAATCCGTTCAGCCGTTCTCGAGTTTTAGCGAGACTAACGAACAGCAATAGTGTGCGAGGAGCTCGATGGCAAAAGTGGTTAGCGCGTTCCGCTGCGATCGTTGAAGTCAAGCAACTTTCGCATGGTCGATCATTGGATGGGTGACCAAAATTTTACTATCTCAAGCTCCTTCGTACATCAGAAGGCACGTTAAGCTGTTGATCCCGGCTGCATTATTTGCAGTCATTAGCACCCACCAAACCGCACAGGGCCCGCGTGGTGGGTCATGGCCCAATCTTGATGATGATGATGATAGTGTGCGATGCGATTCAAACATAACTGTGGCTGCGTTGCCGGCACTTCATATGGCTAGTCGTATTATATTATTTGCTATTTGTAAACTTGTCAACAGTCTCTCCTTTTCACGCCCTTTAGAGTATGATAAGAACAACCTGATGTCAATATGACAAATAGCAAATACGAATAGCCATGAGAAGTGCCGCCATGAAGTTGGCACTAGTCGTGGCGTACAGGTCGCGGAACAACCTGATGTCAATATGACAAATAGCAAATACGAATAGCCATGAGAAGTGCCGCCATGAAGTATGAAGTTGGCACTAGTCGTGGCGTACAGGCCGCGGCACGTAACTCTAGCGCTGAACAAATCGCGGAGGGGATAGCTGCGCATGGAGAGAGAGAGAGAGAGAGAGACCAACCTAAGGTTCAATATCGGAAAGCAAACGGAATTCTTATAGGCTAATGTTATGACCGAATATATATATCATATGTTACTATGATAACGTAATATGCTTTGTTTAGCAATATCATTAAGGACAACTGCTCAGTTTAGTGCCAGGCTTAAAAACCAAAGAAGCAAATTGAGCTAGAAGTATCCCCAAACGATGGACTGTTTGACTGTTCTAAATTTGTTGTTAAGTTACCTGTTATGTTGTCACTGTCCGTGAACAATTGAGCCATATGACATTATACGCGGAAAAAGTTATCCTCGATTCAATACAATAGCGTTAGAAAGAAAAAAGTATGAGTCACACACAACGTAATAACTAGACGAAAATTTGTCCTTTCTATAAATAACTAGTATTTCCCTATTAACACAATCACAACGAAATTGCATTTCGTTTTCCTGCTTGCTACGTTTCCTTATTGAAAAATTCGTTACTTAGAAATGAGCAAAAAGTTCAGAAAAAAAATCTTTATATAACTCTCTTTGTATCTGGAGAATTTTGAACGGATTGCCATTGTGAAAGACGAGATTACAGTTTTTTTTAATGTATTAGCGGCCGTAAAACGGTGAATGACGCAGACTGAAACGTTCGACTGCGAGTTAGCAAAAAGTGGAGGTAATGCGAATATTGAGAAGTATTTACAGAGCTTTCGAGAGTTAACTTAAAAGATCTATTTAATACGAGTCGTAGCAAATTATTAATAAATACATATTGCGATAAATTTTGAGGCTTTTGTAAGCTATAGGCTGTCAAACTGTCATCTCTGTATAGGGGAAACAAGTTATAGAACCATGTAACGACGAGTTATAAAATAGTTTTTGGAGTAATTAAGGACCTTAAATACTTTGCCGTGGTAGCGTAGTGAATCACATTGGACTTTATGTACAATCAACATGCTTGAAAATGCGGTGCCGCCCAATATGCGGTATCAGTGTTGTTTTTTTCCAAGCAGTTGTTATGGATTTACAAGTATCTAGCCCAAGATGGATCTGAGTGGCGTGCAATTGGAGAGGCCTATGTCCAGCAGTGGACTAAGATGGGCAGTTGATGATGACGATGATGGTGTGAAAATGAATGCGTCATTGATTCGGCAAGAGTCGCAAGAGTATGCCTTTTATAAAAGTTAAGAGATAGAGTAAGAAACATGAACTCGAAATGAATTATCCGTCTCCTTCTCATAAAAACAATATAGTCGTAATTTAAAAGAAATGTTTTTCTAAGGACTATATATAATATTATACCATCATAAAACACATTATTATAGTTTTCTTACAGACTGGTTATTACGGTTTTTTTTCTTGATTCAGTTTTTGGCACGCGGCGCCTGGATGGTTACAAATGATGTGATAGAATGTGACATTAACTGCTTGTGAATGAGGTTGAAAGAGAGAAGTTAATTGTGGAAATCGTTATTTTTTTATAGTCATACTGACCTCATTGCCACCCAGGGGCAGTTCCACGAACTCTGGCTGTATGGTTGTGGAATGGATGCCTTCGTTGTGGAAGAACTCTTTCACCTTCTCAGCTATCTTCATATACTCTGACAAGTTTCTACACCTGTAACAAGGATGATATTTTAAATACTTTTCGGAGACAAAGAACCTAACTTATTAATTAAATTAACAGTAAGTTCGCACTTTATAACATGACGAAGATTTTATAAAGCAAGTCGTAAAAAATAAGAGATGTTTTCTATTTCAACCTACTTTAAAATTTGTAATATCTCTTCATTAACCGTAGGTAATTTTAAATTTCAATAAATTACAAACTAAACGTTTACTTTAGCAGCTATATTATTATTTGATTATGCGTATTTACCTACACGCTTTAACAATTAAATGGATACCCAAAATACTCAAACTGAAATAACTAGGTACCCAGATCGATTCTCCAGATACTAAGTATTCAAATCAACCTTCTATCCATCAATCAAAGCAATAAATTTTCCCATTTCATAGATATGGGCAAGGATTGCACAATCGCCTGATGTAAAATTGAGTCAATAGATTTTATCTATTTATCATGATAAATCACAGACATAATGTATGTATAGGCATAATTTCACAACTTGTCGATGTATAGGCACTATTCAAGTTTTGTGAACACATATCTCGGAATAATATATTATTTTGATTCGATGTTGTTTGTTATCCTATTCAAATTTCAGTATCAGCCCCTATCATGATATGAAATTTTTTCTTTGTAATTTCATCCCACTAATATTATAAAAGCTAAAGTTTGTGAGTGTGCATGTTTGTTACTTCTTCACTTTTAAACGGCTGCAGCAATTTTAATAAAATTTGGTATAGAATTAGCTGACACCTTGGGTTAACACATGGGCTACGTTTTACTGCGGGAAAATATCCGTACTAAACCGCGTGTAACACATCAGCCCCTATCATGATATGATATTTTTTCTTTGTAATTTCATCCCACTAATAGTATAAAGGCTAAAGTTTGTGAGTGTGCATGTTTGTTACTTCTTCACTTCTAAACGGCTGGAGCAATTTTAATAAAATTTGGTATAGAATTAGCTGACACCCTGGGTTAACACGCTACGTTTTACTGCTTTCCTACTAAACCGCGTGTAACACCGCGGGGTACAGCCAGTACTTCATAAGTGCTGGATGTACAATAATCATCTTTATTCAATTCCTGGGTCTTATTGTTCTTTATGGTGAAAGTACCTGGTTAAAGGCCACAAATAACATAAGCCCGGTCATTTTTGGGTAAAAACCAGTCTAATAGATATAATGCATTCACGGAGCTTTAGAATTGTTGATAATCACAACAATCTTCAACGCTTTAAGTAACAGACCTGTGTACAATTTGTTCCCAGACTTCTAAATTTTTCCGAACATTGTACACCCAAGTTCGTTCAGCACAAATAAATTGCTTGTCAGCTAATCGTACTAATATTATAAATGTCAAAGTTAGAGTGTTTGTACCTATATATTGCTATAAGTAACCGCTCTTAAGAGAGCGGACGCGAGCTGACATGAGAAAAAAATATGTACATATTTAAAAAAAACCATTGCTTTTGCGCATAAAAATTGCAAAATTTGAGGTTTGGCTCTCGACGATTTCCTCCCCGAAAATTCGATATATGAAAAAGAAAGGACAATGTTAAAATTGGCCTAAGAACCAACACCAATTTGGCATTTATGATAATTCTTAGTATATTTTTTGCGATAATTACCAGTATTTAGATGTTGTTCCAGTTAAGTAAACTAAATTAAAAAGTTAATAAATAATCTGAGCCAATAAATACCATTTTATGTGTTATAATCTATGACAGCACTGCAAACAAAACACTCTTTCTTCCTAATACCGGCACTTCACTTGGCTATTCGAATTTGCTATTTAAAAACATGAAATCAGTCTGTCCTTTTTATTCCTTATTAAGCATGACAAGGATAAACAGTTGTCAAGTGAAGGGCCGGCATAAACTCGATACTCTGTGGTTGTGGTGCAGGCAGTTTGCATTCGTAGTAATCTGTGGCATTCGCGCATTCTCGTCAAAGAGTACTTTATAAATACGGAAAATTCTCGTTTCTTATTACCTGTTGTGTGTGTTTATTTGCGATTATTTTTCCTTTAATTTGAATATTACAATTTCGGCTATCTAATATGCAATCGATGTTACCAAAGAGCAGATATCTTATTACCAAGTGCTAGTGAACCTGTGTCACAACATCCTGAGAGGATCATACTGCCAAATTATTCAAGAGCACCTGATACACATTCACGCTGCATATTTACACAATATACATGTGTTAAACAAATAAATACAATATGATACAATTATGTGAAAAAGAGCCAATAAATAATAAGAAGCAAAACTACAGTTTTTATTTTATTTATGATTCCTAACCAAGTTCTTCCTAATAGTTATTCTTTAAAATCGCACCGAATAAAATGAATTAGTTGTAATATTAATTCACTTCATACTGAGTTCATACTAAGTTCGTAGGTTGACCTATGTTTCATTGAATATTAAACATACCCTCAAAAAAAATTTAGTTTTCCTAATAATTTAAGTTCTCAGAAGTGTCGTCAATAATCTTTGTTTTTACAGTCATTTACTTGCGATTTCGAACCTAGAAAATAATATTTCATGATTGTTGGTTCTTAGGCTAACTATTTATGGACACAGAACAATGTCCTTTACCCATACATTAATAAGCAATTATGCTAGGCCTATGTTTTCTTTTTTTTGGTAAATGCTTATTGAATCTACATACCAGGCGTCTTACATCATACAAAAATAGTTTATTTTTGGCATTTTTGAAGGTTTCTAATTTCTTTGAAACGCAAGTTATCGAAAAAGGGAAATATAGGAGCATAGAATGATATGTGTTTCTTAGGTTTTCACGCACATCACTCATTAAATAAAACTAGTTTTAACGGGTTAATGCACGAAACTTTATTTATTTATTGAAGTTTCGCAGCCTTGTCAGGTCTGCATCGTCTGACGATGCAGACCTGAAAAGGCGGCGAAACGTCAATAAATAAATAAAGCATAGAATGAGCAAAATTATATTTTACGTATAAAAAACATTTCTTTAGTGTTAAAATCAAGGAGAATCGGTCAACAACGTTTGTATGGAAAAAAACATTGTTCGCCTCCCATCTTAATCACGCAAAAACTATAGAAACGGATATGAATGAAATTAGGTACGCATATAGTTTATAATCTAGATTGAGACATACGACACTTTTTATCCAGGAAATCGTTAGGTTCCTGTAGGATTCTCAAAGAACTAAAGTTGACGCGGACGAAGTCGAAAATTTAAATTTATAATATTGTATCGGAGCGAAAGCTGATTTCCGATTTTTGTTGTTCTACCGTGTCTCGATATTGCCGCCGAACCATGTACGTAGTGTACGTAGTTCCGATATTAATAACATTATTAAGTTACCGAGACGATATTTGATATTAGTCTTGGGTTATTCCCACGTGTCATAATAACAGTTATTCAAACAATAACGCGATCGTGTAATGTTATTTCAACGCAAATTGAAAATAGTATACATCTTCAGATGAGTTTATGTTTAAACTTTGGCATGCCGATAAAAGATATTTTTAAACAATGGAGTTGTTAAATCAATATAATATCTTTATATGTGCCTTCAACAATACAATGCATTATAACTTGTCGTCATAGAGTTCAATAAAATTTCATACTAAACACAATGTTTACACAATAATAATAAAGCGCATTTTAAAAATGGTACCTTTAGAACTATTAGGCAGGTTATCAGTAGGTGAGAACTATAGGTATAAACTTGGTATAAACTACTACTAGTAGTAACAGTGTAGTTAATTAGCAATTATTAGTATAGTAATGAATTATTATCTGACGATATACATATCAGATTATATATATTATTCATTACCTATTTGGGTAGGGCTGCCATCCGTCCGGGTTTCCCCGGATTTGTCCTAGTTTACGGGGCGTCCGGGGAGCGTCCGGGCGGGGTTTTATTTGTAGTCCGGGTTTAAAAATTTACGGCAACGCATGAGTGGCCCTTGGTGCTGCAAGTGTCCATGGGCAGCAGTGACCACTTATTATGAGGTAGACAGCTAGCTAGCTCTTTTGCCTAGATCAACATAAAAAAGTTGATTTGTGACATTTTTAACTGTTTTTTTATTGGTCTGTCCGGGTTGTGGGCTTCAAAATCCGGGGTTATCACGCGTCTTATCCTGGTTGCCACATTTTAGAGATGGCAGCCCTATATTTGGGTAAATACCTAAAAATAGATTTATGTGAACAAATTTGATTGATACCTATCCATGTATAGGTACTAATATTATAAATGCTTAAGCGTCTGTCTGTTACGTCTTTACAACAAAACCGCTAAACCAATTTAGTTGAAATGTAGCTATAATTTGAGTTCCCTAGATATAAAATAGGTAGCCAAATGTAAAGCAACTTACATTAGGCTACATTAATTGACATGCGGCCAAATATAAGACAACCGGCAACGGCGGATTATCGTATAAGTTGATAAAAATATCGATTTTATTATGGAGATAGGATCAATGAACGTCATTAACCTCGGGTTATTAGTTAGGTTGGTGAATAATGAAAACGAGCGTTTACGCATCGCATTTTAGGAGGGTCAAGAAAGTTACCCCCTTAGTGGTAAGAGCTATGATTTTGATTCATCATGATTATCATCAGCCTATTAATGTCTCCATTGCTAGGCCACAGGCCTTACATGTGGATGGAATAGGAAGATTGTGATTATGAGATGCCAAACTCGTGAATGACTCAAATGACGACCTCCGTGGTCGAGAGGTTCGTACGCCGGGTTTCATGGTGTCGCCGACTCGAGAAGTCCCGCGTTCGAATCCCGGTGGGGACAGATGTTTGTGTGATGAATACAAGCATTGGTACTCCAGTCATGGATGTTTAATATGTATTTCTATATAAATATACTTATAAATGTACTGTATATATATTCTACCCGTTACCCTAGTATCTCATAACACAAGCCTAACTGTGCTTACTTTGGGACTAGGCTAATTGGTGTGTTTAAAAAAATCTACC